GACACAACAAGAAAGAAGGAAAAGAAGAAGCGAAGCGAAGAGGAACGCAAAGCCAGAAAAGAAAAGAGGCGACGGCTTGCCGAGGAAAGCGGAAGCATTCCCATAGAGATTCATTATGACAGGGCGGGCTCTCTAGAGTTGCTCAATGGCAAGTATCCGTCGACATGCCCGGTCAGAGTTTATCGCAGATGCTGTCAACTTCGCGAAACGCCCATTCTTAAGAAAATCACTGAGCAACTGAGCGATGCCAACAATGTTTTACCCAACGGTTGTGTGAACAAAATTGATCTAACAGGCTACTTCATGCAGCTGCAAGATCTCATTACACTAGGCGATTATCTTGCTGTTATACCTGTTAAAGAAATCATTCTGCAAAACAGCGGGCTTAGCGATGAAGGCGTTCGAGTCATTCTTGCTGGCCTCTTGGCAGCGAAAAACGCAGAACCGTCGAAGCGCAGGAAGTCGAAATTTCTGCCTCAGGAGATGGGTGGAGTGGTCGAGAGACTTGTCCTGAAAGAAAACAAGCTGGGCCCGGACGGCTGGAAGCACATTTCGCTCTTCATCTACAAGTGCCGGTCGCTCAAGTATCTCGATCTCTCTTGCATCCCCTTCCCGCGCCAAGCGCCCGCCAACGCCAACGCCGCTCTTCAGAATGGCGTCCACCTCCCTCTTACAATAGGAGACATCTTTTCCAAGGCCCTCGCAAATCGCCCAACAGGATCGACGCTCGAGATGCTTAGTATCGGTGAGACTGAACCCAGCATGGAGCAACTTGGCAAGGTCATCGATGGTGTGATTAAATGTGGCATCAAGCGGCTCGGAATGGCTCGCAACCCGCTCGATGCGGAGGGTGCCCAGCATGTGGTAAGATATCTGGAGTCTGGGAACTGCGAAGGGCTTGATCTAGGCGGGATCGATCTCAAGGAGCACATGGACGTTATTGCCTCGTCAATCAAGGAGACCGATCCGCTATGGGCGTTGAGCATGTCTGACTGCAACATCAATCCCTCGACTCTGTGCAAGATCTTGCCCACTTTGGCCAAGCTAGAACATCTCGTCTTCATTGACCTTTCGCACAACCATGATCTGTTCCAATCAACACCCAACGCCGTTGGTCTGCTTAGAAGGTAAGAGAATTCGTGCTAATTGAATTGTCTATGAGAATGGCGAATAAAGAGCTAACACACTTGCAGATATCTACCCAAAATGCACGCTCTCAAACGACTACACCTGTCTGATGTCGGCATGACCTCTGAGCAGGCCATTGCAATCGTCGAAGTTGTACCAGAGGCTCTTCACCTCTGCCACCTCAGTCTTCTTGGAAATACCGAAATTATGGCTCTGGCCAACGCCAAGACCGAGGAAGCGCAAGAGGAAGCCTGCGCGTTGTATGCATCGTTGATGGCTGCTGCAAGGCTGTCCAAGAGCATGATATGCGTGGATATCGAAGTCCCTAGTGAAGACTCTGGCGAAATTGTCAAGGCCATGGCAAAGCAAGTTGTGGCTTACTGCTTGCAGAACATTGAGCATCTGCATGATGCCGAGATTAACAAGGCAGTGACCGCGGCGCTCGCTGAGGCAAAAGGAGAGCCTGTCGATGCCAAACTCGCCTCCTATCCTGATGTGCTCGCACATATTGTCGGCCAAGATGTCCTCTTCCAAGATGATCTGGAAGACGACGGTTCAGGACCGGACGAAGACTACGTCATTGGCGGTACGGGCGTGGTCAAAGCACTTGCCTGCTGCCTCAAGAACCGCGGCGATGAATCCCGCCGGGCGTCTGGTGAATTCCTGCGAGAGCTCAGCTCTACGGACGAAGAACCCTTTATTGGGCCCAAATTTAAGACTGGTGGCAAGGCCAAGGATTTCTCGAAACACCTGCTGGCCGGCGCTCGCAAGATCCGTCTTCGTCTCCAGCCGGCATTGAACAAAGCTAGAGCCAACCCGAGTGACGAGTTGAACCTGCGCAAGCTGACATTCCTGGACGATACGCTGCAAGGTATCATCAAACGATTCGAAGATGAGTATCCCGACACTCGCGAGCATCCAGAGGACGTAGTCGCCCATGTACCGATAGCTCAAGGGGAGAAGGAGGTGCTATCGTCGTCGCCACCTGCTGGGGACGATGCGGTGGCAGTTGGCTCAGACGTCGAGGAAGAGGGCGAACTCCGTGAGCCTAGGCCCCTCTCGCGTAGCAACTCAATACTGGGCAGGAAGCTGGCCGAGGAAGAAGGTCGCGTGCACCGTGTCGGCCACAGATTCCGATCCGGTATTACCGACCATGTCAACCTTCTCTCCACCCTTGATGATGTGGAAAACGATCCCAACCACGTCCGTGTGCTGGCCGATCTTGCAGACGATGTTGGTGGTGAGTTCTTGGAATTAGCCAAGCAGAAGGGTGCCGTTCAGGCATTCAAGGACCACAAGGATATGCTGTTTGCGGCCTTGAAAGAGAGCGACCCCGAATACTGGGACAGATTTGTGGAGGCGCAAGGCAAGGCTCGAGCCAACATCAACCTGCCAGGCACCGAAAAGAATAGAGAGAGGCCACAGCTAGCTCAAGATAACGACAGCGCCATTGCAGACTAAGATGAAGTCGCACAGGTTCGCACCTGGCGACTCTCCTCCCCCTTCTCCCTTATTTGTTTCTTATGAAAGGGGGTTTTACATGATTTACCTATGTTGTTGAATTTTCTTTTCCTGCTTCTTTTTATCTCTCATCTGTCTTTACCTGAAGATATGAAGAGTTGCGTTTTGAAATTTTTGGATATTGCTACTAGCGACAAAAATGCATGGCAACGGCGCTCTTTTCTTATCCCTCCTCAGAGGAAGGGTTTCTTGTTCTTGTTTTCTATAGTGGGCTATCAATCAATAGTTATGACTGGGTTTGTTAGGCGTGTGTGTGTACTTGGTAGGGAGGGAGGAATTTGAATGGGTATAAGAGCTTATTACTATGGAATTATCTTTATCACTATTTTTATCTTCTCCTTTTCCTGCGTCTTTGCCTTTCTTACTGTTCTGCTTGGTGAGATGGGCATTCATTTCTGGTCCGTTGCCTCATACAAAAGCATACGAAAAGTTGGCATTCTTTTCTTTATTTTTATTTGCTCTCGTGTCATTTGGAACAACAGAGTATACGTAAAGGGTAGGAATAGCTGATGGGGTTGAAAACAGTTGGAAGGAGTACAGCTATCGTGTATGAGTAGTGGTTATCAATAAAGCATACATACCTATGTTGGCAAATGTTATGAGCACAGCTGGATCGATGACTTTTGTTAACTTGTTGAATTCAATGGAGGAATAAACCTCGGTAAAGAGCTTCCATGAACCATGGCTGCCTGCTTTGGTCATTTTGTCCTTGATGCGTCATACAGCAAAGTGCTTGCAAAGCAGCTTCTCAGCCGTGACTTGGACATGTCAGTCATGTGTCAGCATACAAGTCACCAGCACCAAACTATGCTTACTGAACAATTCTATTCCCATTGCCTCCACTTCCGTAATCTCCGTTATTTCCCACTCCCAACAGGTCAGTCATTGGCACAGAAGCTGGAAAGGAAGAGCCTTTACCCAGCCAGCCCGAGTGGCTGAGGCCCCCAGGTCCTCTTCGCGCCACCCACCCCCAAGGGAAACGGAAACAAGGTCAGCAGAATTAGAGAGGCGGTGATTGGACAGCAAACTCGCGAATTCGACGGGGGGCGTTGCATCATTTTAGGGGGATCGTGTGATATGTTTTAGCACTATTGGGTGGCACTCTATTGGGATTGGCGACTTGAATGATATTCTACGGTACTCCTATAATTCCCGTTGGGGAAAAAAAAAAGGGTACATACTTGGAGTGAATATCAATGTTACAATGGGCTCGGTGGAAGATCCCCCCTTATCACCGACTACGAGTACGAAAAGTAACATCCCATACCGTTCTGTCTAAGCGAGCTTGGCGAGGTCACTGTGTAAGATGGTGATGCACAATGCAAATCCTACAAGGCAGAAATGTATAAAAAAATACAATGGCACACGAAATAGGTACCAAAGGGGGGGGGGGGGGGGGGTCAGCTCGGGAAAATAATACCTATAACGAACACGATCCACAGGATGGCCCTGCTTACGTGACTCGCAAAAAAAAAAAAAAAAGAGGGAGTTGAGTGAATTGGGGTTACACCAAAACCAGTAGTTTTCTGGATCCCAAATAGGCAGTCCCGCCTCACGCCGAGCACCCGATTGGCCACTCATTATTCTTATTCTTGTTGATTCTCCCAGACCCCTGGCGGTGGAACGACTTTTAACGCAACCATGATGTGATGTGACTCTGCTCGTGTGCTTGGGTTTTTTTCTTTTTTCTTTTGTTCTTTTTTTTTTTTTTTCCCTTTTTGGCGGGTTTCATGGTCATGCCTACTTGCCCGAATCGGTCCAAAAGGTACAAGGCAGGGTACCTGCGTAGATCGACCGCAGGGCCTTCTGTTCTGGGCGAATTTGTATGCGTGGAGGATGTAGACGATCAAGTAGTACTTTGTATATTTTTCCTTGTTTTTTCTGGGTTTTGTTTATGCTGCCTAATGCTACCACTGTGTGTCGTGTACATCCATCAAGGTAGACGGACTGTGCTTGGTATTTGTCTCTGTTCTCTCTCTGGCTTTGTCACTGCAAATCCCTTGAAATCAACAAAAAAAAAAAAATGAAGCAATAGGGAAAAAAAAAAAAAAAAGGGCGGAATTATATTTCCAAACAATAGAAAATGTACTACAAAAAATATAGTCCATGTGCTGGCAAAAAAAAAAAAAAAAACAGCAGCCCACAGTACACGAATCCGACACAAAGTCCTTGCCGCTCAGCGCATGGGGTGCGAAAAAAAACGGAGTACTCCGTATTACACTTTATTAATAATGACTAGGCGGCCTGGCTGATGGGCTCATCCAGCTTTCTTCAACCAGCTTCCCCTTCACATTTCTATTCTATTCCTCTTTTCTAACCTTCCTTTTTTTTTTCCTCTTCTAATATTTCTACTGCTCTTCTTGCTCTATTTTTGCCGTCTTCTTTCCGATCTGGGAATATCTCGCCAAAAAAGAAACTCTGCAAAGTACACTGCAAAAGACAAATAGGACTACTGCACACCAACAAAACAGTCTTACACATCTGAACATACGATAAAATCTCACACTGAAAAAGGGCCCCCCCTTTTTTCAACACACATATCTATCCTCTCAGCAAGCCTCTTTCTCTCTCAACAAACTCACCCTCACACAACAACAACAAAATGTCTCCCACATACACAATGTCCGCACACCTGTGCCGTCAATTCTACACATCATGGAACCAATCCCGTCGCCAAAACGCCACCACAGAAGCAGTCAAGACGGCCGCTCCCTCAGCCTCAGCTTCACCATCCATGCTGCTACCATCCCGCTCTCCCACGCCTGAAAAGATTCCCGAGCGGAGAGGAAGCACATCTTCAAACTCGTCAAGTTCATCGTCTCTATCTTCTTCGCCTTCTAGGCATTGATATTGATGGGACCGTTCCAATCACGACTTGAAGAGAGTTTGTCATGTGTCCTTTTTTCTTTTTCCTTTGTTGTCTTCTCCAAGTGTCTTGGCGATATCCTTGTTTCAAAGGGGTCCGGGGATAAATTGTTTTTGCTTGCATCATCATCATATTTCTATCTCGTATTAATCAACATACCCGGCATTTCATCACGATGGAAATCTCACTACCAGGAGTCAACCGTTGTTGACCCCGCCTAGTAGACGGGCATCATCGTGCAACTGCCATCCTACTTTACATACTATTTTCAATCCGACTCGGTTTCGCTTACTTGGGAAAGGGCATCGTCCCCTACGGTTAGGGAGTTTTAGCAATCGAGAAATAAATTCATGTTTCAAAACAAAACACACACATATATATGCTGCTGAGGCGCCACGTTATAATCTGCTAGTAAACATGCTAATATCCCATAATCCTCAAGTTTCCATGCAAGTTGTATCCAATGACAGCAATCATCTCTCAACCTTAATGTACGATAGCCGTTACAAAACTAACCAGGCACAATGATGGTGTGTCCTCGCCGTCTCTTGCTACAGGGCTGATGCTGCCATCGTGTTGACAGTGGGTGGCATGGACATTCTCTTCTTGGCCCGACCATCATCGCCACTGTCTCCGGGCGACTCCTCTTCCATCGCCGCGCTGCCCTGGATTCGTCGCTTCGCATCCTGCTTGTCTGCCTCTGTGATGTCCTTCTCATTCTTCCGCATGTCTGGAGCCCACTGTACTTGGTTAGGCGAGTGACCAACTGACATGCCGACTCGAATCTGCATAAAAAAAAAAAAACAATGTAAGCAATCTGTCTGCAAATTTCCAATAAGTATAAAATAAACTCACCAATGTCTCGAGAGCTCCGTTAGAATTATCCACGAGATCATCGTCGAATCGCATTTTGCCGGGTTCAAATAGCACCAGCAATGTGCTGCCGCCAAATGCAAAGTAGCCAAGCTCCTCAGCGCGACGCACACGCTCACCTTCATTGCGTGTGATGACTGTGCTACCCACCATCATGGCGCCGACACAGATCACCATGACCCGCCCGTGGACTTCGCTGTCAATCGGCACCAGCACTCTCACATTCTCACCGTAAACATCCAATGCTGAACGAATCGCCATCGGGTTCACTGTGTAATACTCGCCGGCAATGGTCTTAGGCTTACCCATGACACCATCCACAGGGATATGGAATCTGTGGTAATCTTGAGGGGCCAGTCGGAAGATGCCCAGAGCACCATTCTCAAATCGCGAGACGTCGTCCGGGTAAGCATCTCCAAGTAGCCTCTTCATGTTGAATTCGCGGCCCTTGACCCAAATCTTGGTCGCTTGTGTGAGTTGGTTGAAGACAACGCTTCGACAATCTGCCGGCGAGACGATAATGTGAGGGTTGTCTGGCGCTGAACACGGCCTGGCGCCAGGCTTAAGAGCACGATAGAAGAATTCGTTGAAGTTCTTGAATTCTTCAATCGGCAGCAACACCTCAGACATGTCCAGACGATGAAACTCAATGAATTTTTCAATTTCATCTCGCGAAGCAGGATCGTCAAACTTCTTGCCCTGCTTGATGCTCAAATTCTTGAGCATTCTCCGAACTGGAAATCATACCGTTAGTCAAATCCTTGAACCCTCTTTCTTTTCTGCCTTGCTAAAAAATTAATCAATGGGTCACTTACTGCGTTTATTCTCCATATCTCGAGATTTCAGGCCCTTGTAAAGCAGTCGAATGCCCAGTCGCACATAAACGCTCATCTTCTCCTCGTTAATCTGCCCAGTGAGGCGATCCTGAACCAGAATATTTGCCGAGTTGGCACCAAGCTTGTATCCACCGTAGGATATTTTGGTGATGACCTTTGAGTACCATTTCCTCTGCGCTTGGCTGGCCGTGACGAAACCTCCCACGAGGACGGTGTTGACCTGGCGCCAGTCTTGACTTGCACACGTAGCAATGTGTGTAATGATATCGCCGTCACTGCGCTTGTTGAGACGGGGTTGGTGGCAGATGGGGCATTCCCGAATCTCCACAACATGCTCTTCCTTGCTGTCTTCGGTGTCAAAATACCCCTCTTCCCCTTCGTCGTTTGGCGTGGTGGCCTCGGCTGGTGGCTCAACCATAATCTGAGGCGTCGAATCTCCCGAGCCCTCGGAGCGTGGCTGTCCGACCGAATCATCAGACCTGCTGGAAAGGCTGAGGTTCTTGACATCCAGAGTAGGAGTCTTGGATCCAGATCGGGTCTTGGCTTGCAGTTGATCCTCGAGACAGAGGACGGCTTCGTCAAAGGTCAGCTCCCATGAGTCTTCGTTATCAGCAGCCTTGTGAGGGAAGCGTGAAAAGAAGCTGTCGATTGTGGAATCTTTCAAGGTGGAACCCAGAGTATCAAGCATCGTGCTTAGCTCAATCCTGCTAATGAGGCCACTTTCGTCTGTATCATACTGTTTTAACAGCGCCCGCCAAAACTGCTGGCGGAGAGCTGGATATGGCACATACTTGGCCTTGAGATAGATGATTGGGTTGTGCTTGCTTTCCCACTTGTCCAAGTTCTTCATCTTCAGTGGTATAGAGTACTCTGAAAAATCGGGGTCCTCTGAATCCATCTCTGGTGACGCTTCAACGACAGAGTTATTGAGAGCATCCGCGGGTGACAATGATGAACTGCTAGATTGTGGAGCGACCCCGTCGCCATTTGAAGGAACAGATCGAGGAGGTGGCCCCTGTGACCGCATCATCTTGCTTAGGCTCGACGTCGACGAAGAACGAGACACTCCAAGACGTTGGAGGCGAGATTTTGTGGCAACTGGGGCGGGTGTCTCTGGCTCTGGAGTTCGGACCTCGTACAGCCCTGTTTCCGGGTCTGCCTGTGGCGCTTTTTCTATAAGAGTCTGGATAGGCAGGTTGCAAGAGGCGATGAAGTCGTTGCCAGAGTATTTATCATGATCAATGACTGTGAAAGCGAATGAATATTGCTTCTCGTGGCCCTGGACGGGGAAAATCATCTTCTCGTTGAAAATTGGGTTGAGGTTGTGTCGAACCCGCCTCGTGCGGTATGTCTTCTTGCCAAGAGATGCCACAACGAACGGGTCCATATCGAAGCCTGTCCGGGTCAAGTTGGACTCGGGTGGAAGATCTGTGATCTTACAGATTTCAAGATAGATGATTCCCACAACATCAGAGTCGCCGTTGGTAAAAGCATATGGATTCTGCCGTCTCTTCTTTTTCAGGCCCTTGATGCGGAGTCGCCGCCGACGCTTCTCGGCAGTCTCTGGTTTGGAGGGGTCTTCAGCATCGTCGCCAATCTCTTCCTCGAGCTCAGTAAGGTCGTCCTCATCGTCATCCTCATCGGGGGACGATGCGACTCCCAATCGCGTTGTCCCGCTCGGAGATAGTAGTGGGGTCTCGGTTGGTGTGACATTTCGGGACGAGCCGACAGGGACCGAGCCAACAAGAGTAGAGAACTTTTCAAACAACTGCTGGGGAGAGATGGTAGGGTCTGTGGCGTCAAACAGAGTGAACTGGAGCTGCACCTCGCCGGAAACGATGCTCGTCTTCTTGCCGGGACGCTTGCTCTTGAGGGGAAACCAGCGCGGCTCCTGCTCGGGTTGCTCGTTCTGGAAGATCTCCTCGAGCGCCAAATCAAACTCGCCGAGGTAGTCTTTGCCAAAACGGTCCTTGTCCCAGCAAATGACGTCGAGCACCAGATTTTGTACAGAGCTGATGGGCAGCTCTTCGATAACGTTCCATTCGGGATTCAGCGTTTTGGGGACGGAGTGGGTGACAACCCGAGAGTCACCAAGTGTGACCACGAGATACTATAAGACAGGCAAGTTTGCTTGTAAGCTGTTGTTCATGACTGAAATATGTCGAGTGTTGGCCATGTAAAGGCCAAGCATTGGGAGAAAGGGGGTGGTTGTTGGCAAATTGCGGTGATTATCGCCTCAGCTATGCCCGTTGGACCAGCTCGTGATCAAGTCGCAATGGTGAAGGTATTCCTGCCACTTGTACTTACCGGATCCGAGGTCCCGCTACGGTCCTTGGCTGCCAGATTCCTTGCCTATGAAGCCTCACGTCTTAGCACAGTACCACTCTCGATGAAGCTGCAAAGCCATGGCCATACCCGCATGATGACCACCTTGAGGGCCAGTCCAGAGGCTGGACTGCCCGTGAGGCCGGAGCCGTCGTTCTTGGGTCGCATTGGGCTCTCGCTTCGTGAATTCGCACCGATGGATGGGGATGGAGAGGAGGAGAGCAGGCGGTTCGGGAGGATACGCATTGCGAAGGCGAAGCTTGTGCAAGCTTAAGTGGGTGCAGAGCTACACACACTCAAGTCGCTACTGTATGTTGTGGTCGATCGTTTGTAGGGAGGAGAGGGCCCCGAAGCAAGCGCTATGGGAGCTGGTTGGCGGCGGGCGGTGCTGGCGATGGCGACAACAGTTGGAGGCGCACTGTGCAAAAGCTCCGAGTCGTGGACTCAGCTAGGGGCGCTTTAGTGAGGACAGCTGGCGATTCCCTTTTAATAGCAACGGCTGAGAGGCCACTGCTCGTGAAATTAGCAAAAGAACATCAGCGTCCGGATGGCCTCCGTTTATTACTCGATACCGCCCTGGGGTCCCGCCTCCACTTTATCAAGAAGCGAGAAGGCCATGGCAGCGGCGCATGTTGGCAGACGCCAAAATATCCATCTGGATGGATCCAAGGCGGCTCAAAGGGCCGGGCCTCGGTATTACTCTGGCTAGATGCAACAACCCTAGCAGGGGAAAAAAGGCTGCACTGACGATAACTCTGTTGAAGAATTCCTTTGACTGTGCTCATGCCAGTCCATAGTAGTCAGGCGCGGCCAAGCGCAATAATTCGCAGACTTCGAGGCCTCTGACGGCGCGGCGAGGACAGCCCGGGTTTCATAGCGACGTCATTGCGTGTCTCTAAACCACAGTGCTTGCTTGCTCCAGCTTGTACTGTCGGAGCTACTGCTCAGCTTCTGGGGTTGGCCATACCCTTCTGACGTGATCTACGTAAATAGCTACGGTGTCTCGGTCGCACCACAGCTGTAGCCAACAGCACTCTCCTTACTCGCCAGCGGAGGGACATACTCAAACATGCAGATACGGAAAACCTTGGGTGGCGTCACTGCGGACTTTTAATGATTGACGGCCCGAGCCAATAGCACCCACCGGATTGCGCGAGACAGAAGGCATATGAAGGCGCCCTGTTTCACCAACCACGCAATATATCTCTCATTTCATGCAGCTCTTGCTAGTAGTACTAGCAGTAGTAGCAGCAGCGGTAGCAACAACAGTAGAAGCAGTATAGCAGTAGTAGCAGTAGGTAGTAGGCCTACCTAAGAGCATAGTAATAGTAATAGTAGTAGTAGGCTGTAATGCGCCGTCTTCGAGAGGCAGAGGATTCGCTCGCACTCGCACTCGCTTGTGAGAGGGCCACGAGAAAGGGCTTGCAGACAGCATGCAGCGTCTAAGACAGATCCCACTTTGCCTTCGTGGCAGCCATGCTTTGGTCCTATCAGGTTGGCTTGCTGACGCAAGAATCTGCAGCACATTGGTCTAGGGTAGGCAGGTGGTACTGCGCAGAAGACCGTCATAGCGTGCGAATGAAGATTTGTATGCACCCAATTACTGTTATGGAGGGGATATTACTTGGTGCTTGGTTTATAATGCTGAAACGACGACCTGGTAAGAAAATCATCCTCAGCAATGTTTGCAGAATAACTGCTTTATTACTCCCCGCCAGCAACTCGTACGGAACGGAATCCGCACGTCTACGACAGAAATAGAAACACCCAAGATCCAAGACAAGGCGATAAGAACAAACATGTCGTCAACGATATGACGTAGCGCCCATCGTCAATGCCAAGACCAGCGAATAACTCTACATCGTAGGTAATATTTAAGTTTCCCAGCCACCCGTCGATGCTCACTCGATGCTCATCTTACCCTGAATTGATCTCTGGGCTCAAAGCAGCTCGCCACAGCCTTGTGAAACTCCTGACCAAGGATGAAGCGGAGCGGCGTAGAAACTATCTCGTACTAGCATCTTTTTTTGATCCCTGGTGAAAGGGATATCCCACTAAATCCCCCTATTGCAACGCCGTCTCGTATGTATCCGCAGTATTGCTCCATGGTCTGTGCAGCAGTGATGGGGAAATGAAATAACGACTCTCCGTGCTTTTGTTGGGGCAGAACCTGGTCCAAAACAAGCAATGGATGCGTCTTGCTAGCGGGAGAAGAAAAAAGGAAGATCGAGATCTTTGTATCACTGACACGTGATAGCCACTGCGGCAGCATCATCTACTGATTTTTCCCTTGTTTTTTTTTGGTGGTTGAATCAATGACAGGGCAATGGATCAAAGGATCTTCTTTCCTTCTCTACAGCCAATTAATTGATATGTCACAGCACATTGTCATCCCAATTGCAAGTAAATAAGTCTACCACGCACGTGTTAAAAGATAGCACGGTGTCTTGGAATTCAGAGAGCTGCGAGCGCCAAGTCCGCCCCAACAACTGAGCTAAGCAATCGCCTAGGTACTCCATTCCAGACCCAGGACTGCGGGAAAAACCAGGATGATAGCACCGGATAGTGCCTCATGCCCATTGTCAAGGTAGCATTTTTGCAGCGTAGAATAGAAAGTACACATAAAGATGAGAAATTAACCGCTGGGACCCGAATACGGCGTTGCCTACTTTGGCATTAATTCACAACCCCTTTTCAGTATGGTCACGCCACCTGTCATTATGGAGTGCGGGCAGCTCGCTGGGCTGTGGGAAATTTGATTTTTGGTGCCGACCTCAAAGGTGGGTAAAATCACAAGCTCCCCGGTTAGAATTCTAAACTTTCAGCGTCAAATCCCGGGGCCTTCTCTCCACACATTGCGCACGCGAGCGTCACGAGTGAAGCCAAGCCAGACACCAGCGTGTTTTTTTTTTGTGCTTTGCAGGTCCATGTGCGTCTAGGATAAGGAGCTTCACATCTGCTGGAGAAGCTATCGCGAGCTGTTTTACTCGCTGCGGAACAGACGAGAGAGGCACGCAAAAAAGTTGGACCACCTACGTCAGATACGTCAGGCTGCATCGAGGCCCGACCCAGCATCGTCAACATGTCATCGCCATCAGGATCCTCCCACAGCGGCAAGCGCAAGAGAACCGCTGCCGCCGTCGCCGACCGCAACCTACAGGACGGCGCTCTGCAGACATCCTCGCGAGATGCCTCGGGCGAGGATGGTGATACCACCGCACCAGAGTCGTCGCGACAGACCAGACGGAGCGCCAACGGCACGAGCTTGAACCCTAACAAGAGACAACGGGCCAATTCAGAGCGAGTTCTGGACAATGGCAACAGCAACAATGTGCTCGATCCCGGTGAGCCCAGTGACACCACTGAAGCCAGCGTCGACATTGCTGAGAGGGTTGGCCGAAAAGCGCGGAAGAGCGTATCCAAGGATGTCGAGGAGGAGAAGAAGAAGGCGATGGCTCCGCCGCCCATTGGCGAACTCACGCACCCCGTGGGTTTCAAGACAAACGCCCCTCCAGTTGGCCGCACCGTGAGGGTATACGCAGACGGAGTCTTTGACCTGTTCCACCTTGGGTAAGTGCCGCATTTGACGAGACATGCACTTGGTTGCTGCGTTCAAAGCTAGAGTTTGGCGACGTAACTGACCGGATCGCTAGACACATGCGCCAGCTTGAGCAAGCGAAGAAGGCCTTCCCCGACACAACCCTCGTCGTAGGCGTCACTGGCGACGGTGAGACCCACAAGCGCAAGGGGTTGACGGTCATGTCTGCAAAGGAGCGTGCCGAGTCCGTGCGACACTGCAAATGGGTAGACGAAGTGATTGAAGACTGCCCATGGATCGTCAGCCCAGAGTTCCTCGAAGAGCACCGCCTCGACTATGTCGCCCACGATGACATCCCGTACGGCGCAGACGAGGGAGACGACATCTATCAACCCATAAAGAAAGCCGGCAAGTTTCTCGTTACGCAGCGAACGGAGGGTGTCAGCACCACTGGCATCATTACAAGGTAAGCTGGCTGCTCGCAAATCACTACATATCCATGATTGTTGCTTTATTCAATGGCTGACTTTGACGTCTACGCAGGGTCGTCCGTGATTACGAAAAATACATCAGTCGACAGTTTAAGCGTGGCACTTCTCGCCAAGAGCTCAATGTCAGCTGGCTGAAGAAGAACGAGATAGATCTCAAGCGCCACGTACAAGACCTCCGTGACAATATTACCAACAACTGGGCTACCACCGGCCAGGAGCTCAGCCGAGAACTGAAGCAGTTCTGGCCCACCAGCCGACCACAGAGCCCAGCCCGGTTCAACAGCTCAGGAAGCGACATTGCACGATCCCCTACCACGCCTGGAGAGCGAAACTCGAAGGAGTTTATTACCGGCTATGCGCTTGGATTGGTTGGTGGTGTGAAATCATGGGTTCGTTGACTTCTCAAAGCTCTCTCTCCCGCTATGCTCATCTTTACCATACTGACATGACGCCCTCCCCGGCCATTGCAGATGTCAAAGAACCGAAGAACAGTCACGGATAGCCACCCCGCAAGCGATGACGACTCTGAAGAGAGCGACGGCAACGGAAGGCCGGCAGAGCAGAACAACCATGAGGTGGCCGCTTCAAGCCGCGCGTAGATTTAAGCATCAAGGAAGTGCTCCAAATGTCAAAAAGGAACTGTGCGCGGCCGTATTGTATTGCTTCCCGAACCGAGAGAATGAGAATGAGAACCTGAAAGTTATGGTGTCAAAACACGTGACAAAGAAGAAAACGTGAAGGCCAATTTGTGATAATAGATGGATTTGTGGTACTAGTATTGGCGTGTTGGGCTTTTGTTTTAGGGGTTCCGAAAATGATTAGTTTCTTAAGTTTTTTTTTTTTTTTAATGCTCTGATATTAAGATCTACTCTGGAGCGCTGTACCAATCTTCGCGTTCCGTAGTATTGGGCAACTGTATAATGGAAGCTATTTTTGTCATATGAAACACTTGAATGTCTGCAAGGCTACGTATATGCAACGATTGTATCATGGCTCACTCGGCGTATTCTTCTTTTGGTTACAGAGTGTTGGTTTTGCTACTGACTCAGATGACACTTACATATACGAAGAGACGCAAGGAGGAAGGAGATGACCGAAGATGAGCTGAATGTACGCGTGTGATAGGGCTGTTTGTGACGGGAGGTTTACAATTACGACTCTGTGGTAGCCCCAAAAAAACGGATGAAGGACAGATCAGCCTTGATGACGGGCATGAGGGGGTTCACAAACATGTCCGATACGACTGCTACCATGCAGCCTTATCCGCGACAGGCCATGTCATGTCATGCCATTGTATTGCTTCTCCTTTGTCCGATGTCTTTTCGTTTCGTCTGATGTGGGAAGGCTACCTAAGTAAGAATGAATCGAGATGCACGCCGCCGGTTGCTAATATTAGAAACTGGGTTTCGTTTCTTTCATCCTACAATGTGTAGCTTGGGGTTCCGACAATCCGGGTTGCCAGCCTGGTGTTGCTTCTTGCGGCTATTGAGCACCTGTGAGGGTGTGAAGGTTTTGGTATTTGCATTTACGGCGGCTAATAGGCGACGTTGTAGGATGGGGATGCGTTACATCGCAAAGGCTACAGTCATTGTAAATGGGCAGATGTGTGAGCAAGACATGTGCGTGTAAGTCCATGTCGTATGCGTGTGCAGTCATACAGCAGCAGCAGCCAGCCCTACGAGAACGGGCCGGCTGAGTGATTACAAAAACAGACTGCCATGTTTCGAAAGAGGGGAGGGGCCGGCCCTACGGCGTTAAGCGACGGGATGCAACACTCTGTCGTGCCATTTCCAGAAAGTATTGTGTGCGTTGTTTCTTTGAATCGGGCTCAGACGGGACATCCACATTTCCGCTGCTCGTCAAGGATGACTTGAGCAAATAGGCGGCGCGTATAAACGACGAATAGGACGATTTTTGATGGGGTTGATGTGGTAGCAGTCTGGGCGCTTGTGAGCGGTTGCACTGGTGGACTGGTTGGTTAGATGCTTTCGCAGCTGGGGCTGTGCTATTAATTCCAATTCATGCTCTCCATCTCTGTAGTATACGGGAGATTCGCAGTGTGGGTTAAAGAGAGAGCGGTTTGGATGGATGGCCCTATAGGCGAAACAAGCGCGCTTCCGCGTGGCCATAGCCTCATATGCAAGGTTTCGTTCTATATTTCTCCTTCTGATGCAAGCATGCTGGGGGTCAGTCTGGTTCGATGTGCCGCACCGGCATTGCATGAGCGGTGCATTACATTATACATTTTGCTTGCCAAAAAGTCGTCGTGTGATGGGGGGGACATGTCGCCAGCCAGCCCTCTTTGCCGGAAACGGTGTGGGTGAAATCTTTTCTAAAAATATCCCTGCCTTCTCATAGGCTAAGGCCTAATTGGGGATGCAGCAACGTTTTTTCTTCTCCAATTCTGTCGCTGTACTGGAATTACGTGCAGCATTGTAAGCGCCGAGACGAGGTATGGGATGAAAAAGAGGGTGGCATTTGATGGAAACAAAAATGTTGAGGTAGTAATGGTACTGATTTTTGCTTTTTCATCTATTGCTTTCAAATCCCTAATTAGCATTCTGGCTCGCTTATAGGTGCCTGGTATGTGAGGTAAGGATGTCATGCTGTATGTAATAATCACAGTGCTACCTAAGCTGGATGGGCCTATCCTTTTTTTTTTTTTTTCCCTCTCACATCGTCGATCGTCTGATATGGAGGGACAGCTTCGCCACACCCACTCCCGGCACAGCAACCAGCCCCATGGACGAGACGCTTGATTACCCTCACTCTCTATGCATCTCTACATACGACTTCGGAGCAACTGGCAGTGAGATAAGCGCCGGCGGGCAAGATTGACAAGGTTGGAGTAAGACCTGCAGCAAAAAAACGTGGGACTGAATACCGCTACGTGCCGCTGCCACAAGGGAACATGTTATTGTTCCCAGCACGCACTCGTACCACTGCGACTTGTCTCGTGTAACTGCGCGTCAGGGCTCATGATGTTGTCTGAGACAGGCGGTTTTAAGATGAGTGCTGCGGTCGCATTGGCGGTGGCTCTGTGCTCGGGTTCCTGAGAGGTGTCAAAGGGCAGATGAGGTACTGGGTACTGGGCACTTGTGTGGTATAAGCGTGAGGGCATCGCGTACATGTTACGTTGAAGCCACCACCAGCTTGCGTATATGCAATCCCTCTGGATACGGAACGCTTCCGGTGGTGCCCCAATCCAAGCTATACGGAGTACATGGAATGTCCAAGAAAGATGAAACGAGCGTGTTGATCCCACATCCTTCGCCGAAACCCCTGCAACACATGACTTGCGGGGGAGTGGCTGTCGGCACTGATGGACTTGTAGTAACATCCGGAAATGTTTGGTGATGCTGCCAAGCTGCCTCTGCACGCACTACAGGTACTGTCTGATGAGCACCCATTACTGCTCCTGGTCGGCAGCGAGTAATGAGATGGGTAATCCAAGCCGTCGGTAATCATCCAAACGGCAGGTGAAGAGACGCTTGATGGAATCCTGGCGGCACATCGCCCACAAGTAATACTCGCAGCGGGCGCTGACCGCAGTTCCCAAATGTCTTGTTCCCAGCAGCATCTTGTTGTGTCCTGCTGCTCTCATTTCCGAATCCAGGCAAGGGGAGCTGCTGCCGCCAGCCGTACCCAGTACTTTGTACATGGCGATGCACTAGCGAGGCACTAGCTGGATTTGCAGCTCATCTGGCCCCCAACTCTGGCCCGTTGGCCCGCAAATCTTTAGCGACCACCAGCTTGGGTCCCTCATCTCATGTCCTTGGGCTTTCGGAGGAGGAAAATACACATGCGAGCAGAGAGCGTGGGTTGGCATGTCTTTTCCTCGAGTGGCTGAGATGAGATGAGATTTGGAAGGTGGCCAGATCTACCAGGATGCGGCCATGCACGACGACTGTTCTGGCGACGGAAATCCAGGGACAGAGAGCGAGAGAGAGAGACGGAATCAGAACCTGGAAGGCAGACAGAGAAGAGGCAGTGACTTGGAGACGACAAGGTTCCTGGCCACGGTGCATGTACGGGGACCCAGACGGCTGGTATTCCTCGTCCTTCTGCTCATCCACCCTTCCGGGGCCCCCTCCGCGATGTGGACATTCCGGTAGTCGCTACTAGTAATGGCTCTTGGTACGCAAAAGAACCGCTTCCAAGGACGCCATCAGCAGCATCACCGCCGATAGTTCTGACCACGGCGGACTGGATTCTGCGGTCGCTGCAAGCACGGCACTCCCGCGTTTGGCAGCAGCAGCAGCAGCTTCCAGTCACCAATTCACATCACCATACAGCGGGCTAGTCGAGCACCAAGGCGGGCACTCGGGCTCCACGGGAGCGGGCCATGGCCTCGTGGACGCGGAGACTACAGGCACTCTGTCCATGATTGACGTCTCTGTCTCTTGGGATTGCACTAACGCGAATGGCGTGCGCATGTTAAACAAACCCCTGGCCCACCGGGACGTCAGCTCTGCGCACCACGGACGCTCGCAAGACGGGGACCTTTTTTTCAGCTCTGGGCCATCCTTACATGATCATTTGCAGACGCTCCGCCAGCTGAGGTGCGCGAGGTGGCCGCCACTGCGTCGTGACCAAAGCCGCTGTCCTTGCTGAAACCAGAGGCCGGCCGTGATTCGTCGCTTCGGGGCCGTTCAAGGCAGGGAGCAGGCGCTCATTGGCAGCTTGGCCGATGTTCGCAGCAGGAAATATTGAGCCGTGTTTGGAGGGGCTTCCAATTTCCTGCCTTTTCTCGCGCGGAGGTGGCCGATGCCTGGCAGAGAGGAATGCCTTCTCAGCCGCATGGCCCCTTTTGCGCAAGGAGAAGGCAGCCGTTCTTCGGTGCGATGCAGGAGGCGGCATGAGGACACTTGCATATAGCACCGCGCATGCGCATTGACGGGATATACGAACATCACGCATCATCACCTGCAGCTCGAGGAGGCGTGAAACCAACCTGTGTCAGTATTACTGCAGGATCCTTTCTAGAACGGACGCATAGAAGAGTGCGATGGCCTCCTACCAAGGCACTGTACAAGGTACTGCAGGAGATCCTTCGAGGGTACATGTACAAGTAAGGTAGTAGTAGTAGGTATGTAGTACAGTAAGCGTCTGGAGAGGTGGTCCTCTGGCCAGTGGCTCCGGTGGGCTGGAAACACCAAGAGCTTGTCCAGAGACACGGACGGGGAAACCTTCTTCGCCCACCCTGGTCTCCCAGACTAGCCGCCGATGCGCCAAAAGGGGAGCTTTTGTTTACGGGCGAAGCAGCCACCCCGGCTGATGATCATGAACCACTGCGCAGACCGCGCTGCCGTTTCTGGCCAAACGGTGACGCACAGTATTTGCATTTGCTGTCCAACCCGTGGCTCTAGTCTCGTCGTTTACGTGATCCGCGCTCCGGAAGAGACGACTCGCAGCGCCGGCCTATGGGCGCACAGCTCGCTCGGTGGCAAACCAAAAGACACGCCTCTGTTCTCGTCCAGGCCAGAAAATCCCGGTTTCACTCACGCGATGCCCTGGGCGCCAACCACCGCTCAGCGAGACTTGCTTTTTGTGGCGGTTGGTCTGTCGGGGAGACAAGAGACGCCCCACTGCCGTCGGATTTCGCTTCAGCAGAGGAGCCCACCCGCGCTCACTCTTGTATTACTGCTGCTGTTAGTCTGGGTATTGTGCAAAGGAATCGAGTACTTTTCTAGTACGAGCAGGCCAGGTCTCGAGGTATCATTGCTTGTACTCTTGTGCTACGAGATCTCCTGTCAGCAGTGGTTCTCGCCGGAAAAAAAGAACGAGCCCTGCCCCTGTCCTCTGTCGCCAAGCGCGCACTTGACGAGAAGCAACGGCCATGTCTCAGCAAGCCTCAGCAGCCGGAATCAACACGAACTGCCTCTATACAGTATCCGTATACGCAAGAAGCAGCCTCCGGCCAAGGGACCCGGCGAGCGACAGCCATTCGCATCTGCCAACCCCGCTGGAGCCGCGGGACTGGGACCTTGACGCCATACCCGCGCCGTCCTTGGGATCCCCCTTGCTGGCGTTGTCTGCCGTCGGGACCGATGCGCTGCCCTATCTTTGCAAAGTCAGCATAGCATAGTATGTGCCAGACCTCATCAATTCCGTGCACAGGCCTGTCGGTGGTCGCACCAGCCCACGGCAAAAACTGGGACAACCGTCCTCTTCCAGCCTGTCGCGCATCTTGTCGCCCAAACAGGCGATCAGCAGAGGCGGACGCCCTGGCCTGGCCTGCATGTCGATAAGGAGCAGCGTTCTAATTATATCCAGAGTCTAGCCACGGCCTTCCCCTACGACCGGTACGACGCACATTGTACCGGATGGAGTTGTGTCTGGCATGGCAGCGCAGGAATCCTGGTGTGCCCAACTTTGGCGCGGCCGCAACACCCATCAATCATGGCGCTGCTTATGACAGGCAGGCCTTTTCTGACCCTCCACCGCGCGCCACCCTCGCTGCCGTGCTGCGCCCAATGAAGAGACCGCAGCCGGCATGCGATTCGCAGCGCCCATCTGGACGGAGCATTTTAGTCTCTACCCCAGTCATGGCCCGTTCGCTCCCGCGGACAGGGCTGGCTCAACCACGCGGCGGCGTCTCCACCACGTCTCTCCCCCCGACATGGTTCTGTCAGCCTCGGACCGGGTCTGGCTGCGCTGTGGGAGCTCTGGTTGGAGCTCTGGCTGGCCGGGGCGTGCGCCAGAGGGATTGGAGGCACGTCCTGGCGCATGTACCCAGTACGAGCGGCGCGCGAGCTGATGCTGTCGACACCGCTTGGAGAGCGACTCGGGCTCGTCCCATGCCGTCTTGTCTGGCTCTACATGCACCCCATAGCTCAGCTGCCAGCCCACGGCTCGTCATGGAACCGGGATCATGAATCCAAGGGCTTCACCATGGAATCCGGCCATGTCTGGCCCGCCGGGGTCCCGTCTGCTCCCACACACGGACATACATGTAGACTACTTGCGCGCTCTCTCTCTCCTTCTCTGCCGCTGCCGTCACGACCGCCATACTCCATGCTCCAGCACCCGCGGGGAATGCGCTGTCCTGTTTCCTATATTTGTCCCTCAAAAGGCGTCCGACGTCGTATCGTATCTGGAGAACGGCGTTTGTGAACCAGCGAGGCTGAGGCTGGGACGATCGCCGACTCGCCCACCCCAACCCGCCGCGGGTTGACTTGCTGTCGACCACTCTTGTCTCTTCTTACACCACCAACATACCCTTGCTCTCCCTTATCCGTGCTTTTTTCTTCTCCCAGAGTCTCGGCATCTTAATCCATGATCTCTACTACAGCTTCACCTTCACGCACGTCACGGCACTAGCAGTACCTCCTCGCAGCCGGCTGGGCTGTGTGTATACTAAGATAGCCTCTTGTGCTCCACGACTCCCTGGTACCTGCTTCCTTCATCTTTATTAAACCTGCATCTCGTCTCTGGATCTGGGTCTTGGTTTTATCCACAATGGGGAGCCTCAGGAACATTATGAATGTCGAAGACGACCACGCCGATCCTCACTCCATAAGAAGGGACCGAAGGCCGACTTCAAGAACTGTTGCCATCGATCAAGATCTCTCCGTCCCCATGCCCAGATATAACATCCCTGTGGATCTGTCCGGCCAAACATCTCTTCCTCACATTCTTCACCCCGCAGCACAACCCCTGGGATATAATAACCATCCTGGAGGCCGTCGACGCAGCAACACGAGCACTGACTCCATGGACTCTTCCTATGGGCAGGGTCAGAACCATTCATCAGCATACTACACCGGAGCAAACATGAGGCCCATCATACCAGGAGGCTCTTCAGGGGAGCACCCTGTCAAGCTGACGCCCATTACTGGAAGAGTCAGTCGGGCCAAGAAGGGGGTTCCTGTTCATACGTGTGATACCTGTCGACCACCAAAGGTATATTCACTCATCATCATCATCATCATCATCACCATCATCTCTTACATCTTGTTGTTTGTCAAGGGCTTGTGCTAACATGGGATCTTCTCTCCTCACTTGGAAGACATTCACAAGAGCAGAACACCTAAGGTATGTCGTTGCTCAACACACACACACACACACACACACTCTCTCTCTCTCTCTCTCTCTCTCTCTCTCTCTCTCTCTCTCTCTCTCTCTCTCTCTCTCTCTCTCTCTCTCTCTCATCTCATCTTTTCATCATCGAATTGTAACTCACTCTCATCTCTACAGACGACATCAGCTAGGCCATCAGCCACCTGAGCTATCTTGCACCGTCTCTGGCTGTAAAAAGGTATTCCACCGCAAAGATCTACTGGACCGACATCTACAAAGACAGTAAGTCTCCTCGTCTGCCCCAACATCATCTCAACGATTCGAACGAGTACTGAACATAGGCATCAGTGGCGAACAAGAAGGTAGACTGAAACGAGACTCATCCCGGCGGCGTCGATCTGGCAGCAGCCCAGCTCGACCCTACAGCAGTTCACCACCGGCACCCTCGATGCAAGCAGCCTCACCTTACATCGCCGCTGCCACAACGCCTGCCTCTAGCATGGGAGTGGTCCCTGGCCACTGGTCATCAGTCAACAGATCGACACCTCAGGGAAGCGTAATGCAATCGCCGCACATGCAATCGCCACACATACGAGATACACAGAGCACATACCAGATGGCGGATATCGGCGTGGTCGACCCCGGTATGGCTGTACAGATGCCAGATTCTAGAGTCGTCTCTAGCTACAACGAAGCTCGTCCTGCTGGGCTGAGCGCGTTGAACCCCCCCGTCCCCGAGCTCTGTATGCCTGAAACCACCTCCCCAAGCATGACCTGGACGGATAGCTCAGGCATTCCATCAACTGCTTCAGGAAGTGCTTACTCGACCCCTGCACCTGGCAGCTCCAAGTTTCAACATTCGTCGGGTCGAGCCCACAACACCGAATGGACAGCGCAGATTCCATCATATGCCACATCCCCAAGCCCCGTCATTACCGATGGCAGCTACGCCATGTCTTTTCCCTACGCTACTACCCCCCCGCAAGTCTATTCCTCAGTCTATGGGGATAACATAGGGACTCCCTTTCCTACCTACGAACATGCCCCGAATCTTTACAGCCCGCACCAAATGCTTGACACTTCAGTCCGCAGCATAACTCCGCCCCAAATGATCGTGGGTCAGTCAAGCGAGACTCTGATTGCGGCACCGCATGCGCTGCCGGTGGACCGCATGATGTATCCTCGCAATGGCGGTCGCGAGCCTGTAGATGCTCTGGGCCTATACACTCTGATGCCCGCGCCTGCAATTCTAAGCCAGCAAACCCGAGACATGATCCCCAATTACATCGAGGTATACTGGGATAAGGTGCATTCTCAGCACCCAATAATCCACAGACCAACATTTGAGAACCCTACGAATATACCCGAAGATCAACTCGAGATACTCAAGTGCGCCATGGCGGCTGTCGCCACCCAATTCCTCGAGCATGTAGAACATCGCGCCAATGGACACCAGCTGCATACCTATGCGATGGACAAGGCAAAGATGGTAAGAGAAATACAAACACCATATCAATTGCAATAGACGAGTAACAGCTAACATTGGTAATCCAGTACACCGACTCTGGAGCCCCAGAATGGCCGATTGTGCAAGCTACAATTCTAGGCGAATACTATGCCGTCTTCCGAGGAAGAAACAAGAAGGCATATCAGAAATCGCCTCGCTTTGAGGCACTTTTCCAAATGGTTAGTCCTCACTAGATTTATTGGTTCTCGTTCATGAACCGACGGTTTTTTTTTTCTGCCCTCACGTGAAGCGTTTTTTTGGTTTTGTCTTTGTTTTCTTTTGTCTTCTTTTCTTTTCTACTATGCTGTTTATGGGATTTTTATGTCTTTTTCTCTCTTCTTGTTGCATGATTACGAACATCTCATGGTACCCCTTCAAATCTATGTTTTCAAAATTTCATTTGAATTTTCTCGCTCAATATCATTTGGTTTTTTTCTCTACTGCATTACTTTTTTTTTTTCCTTCTCTTCTTTTCTCTTTCTTATCTTTTACTTTCTTTTCTACCAAATCTTTTCTTTTCTTTTCTTTTCTTTTTTTTCCATTCAAAGTCTGGTAAAACGAAAAGCATCATCTTATCTCTTACTCATTTATACCTTGAATGCAGGTCATCAACGCACAAACCGCCTACCCATCGAACATGGAGTCGTGCGACGCTTCCCAGCAATGGAACATTTGGGTCCATGTGGAATCAAGGAGGCGCCTCTTAGCTGCCTGTTTCCTGCTTGATGTCCATGCATCGTCGTATCTGGAACAACCTCGTGCCGCAGTTATTGGCCTGGACTATACAGACCCTGCGACTCTTCCGGTGCCGCTGTCAATGGGCACGCTACATCTATGGGACGCACAAGACTATGAAGAATGGAGTCGCATGAGCCAAGCAGCTATGCCAGAGACTATTGGAGCGACGAGTCTTGAGCATATTTCTGCTGCTAACATTGCATCGATTCCTGCCTTTGACGCATCGCTGTTTTTGCTCGCATTCGTTCTTCAGCTTCCCCAGCGACAAACTCTTACAAAAGTTGATCTTTTAGACAATGCTTCAAGTATTAGCATGAGTCACTTTAGAATTATGAATCTGTTCCCGGATTCACCAGTCGCCATGTCACATCTTGCCCTCCATTATACCCCGCTGCATACCCTCTTGTCAGTCTCAGGCGATAGCTGGGTTTTCAACAAAAAGGTGCTCCAAGCCACCGAGTTCATGGAGCATCAGAGAGAGCTCGAAAAATGGCGAGACTCTGGCAGTGCCGCCGTCGCAGCCGCCTTTGCCGCTCGAGCTCTCAACCTATTCCTCGGAATCTCAAGATATGCGAGCAAGGACGGAAACGCCTCCTCCATATCTCCACGTTTCCAGCGCGCTCAGAAAAAGGACATTTCCGACTTTTGGGGCATCTACGTCTGCGCCCTCATCTGCTGGGCCTTTGGACACATTGGCATCAGCCGCTCCGAGACAAAGGCGCCGACTCGGAAAGCCGCCATACAGTGGCTGCTTGACGTGTCGAGCATGGAGCCCGGCCAGATTGAGGAGATGACTGTGCGGTATAAGCAAGTTGGCTCCGGCGCGGTGAGCCTTGCGCGCGCGACGCTCGAGAAGGAGTGTCTGGGCGGGCGAAATATCTTGCTTGCTGATGCTGTTGGTGTTTTGAAGAAACTAGAAGAGGGTGATAACTATAGACGATTTTAGGGAAGTTTTCTTTATTTCTTTTTTTATTTCTGCTTGTTTTCTTTTCTTGCTTTCAATTTATTTCTTGTTTTTCTCGTTTGTCTTCTTTTGTTCTTCTCTATGATACACATGAATGTGGCATTTGTTTTCTTCTTCTTCTCTTTTTTCCCCCCAGCATGCTTTGGATATAACGGCCGGCAAATGGTTTTTACTTAGTTTAGCTAAAGAGCGGGATGCATAAAGTTTATTCTTTCTTAAAGGCGCATGAAGCGTTTATTTGGGATTTTTGTGAGGAGCTCATTAGGAGCAGGGAAAGCAGGGCATGGGATAAAACATATACCAAACCGGATTGGAACGCATGAGATAGCAAAGAGCCTTTATGTTTTTTTTTTTCCAAATATATTTTTTGATTCCTATTACAACGTATTTTGGTGCAGATTGAGATCCGATGAGTTGTAAGAGAAGAAAGCAAATCTCCACATATACTCTCCTTTGTGCCTCCAAGCATAGCTACTTGTCTAAATCGTGTTTTTGACGCTTTCTCTCTGCACAAGTTGCAACATCACAATGCCAGGTTTGAGTTTTAATACCATATATTATACCATTCTGATAGTAGTAAACGAAAACGACCCATGTTTTTTTTGTTCTTGTCCCCGAGTCCACAAACTGACCCTGTTTCTCGATAAAAGCAATAATAGTAAATAAGTGCAAGTGTCTTCCCTTTCCCCCTCTCAAAGCTAAACAAAAAGAAAAAGGAAAAAAAGAAAAAGAAAAAAACCTTTGAACAAAATCAAATCAGTCCACAAGGAAGAGAAAAACCTCCCCCTTTCCCCCTCATTCACTCAAGTATCTTTATCCTCCATCCTTCCATCCTCTTCTAGATGCTTAGCCCAGTAGATCGTGCCGGTTCCCTCAATCTGGATATTCAGTAAGTAGTATTAATACAAGTCCCATCATTCCGAAGAAGAAAAAAGGAGTGACGGCAAAAAGGCCCATCTGCAGCGGGTAGCAGTTTGAGCGGTCCCTTAACTCTTCGAGTAGTCAAAAATGTCAAACTGGGTTTCATCCTGATCGGACGTAAGAATCCCTTGCCATTTCGTTCATCGAGCGTAAGGATGGAAGCCTCTGCTTCCACCACGTCCACCGCCACGGTAGTTTGCGCCAGGCTTTCCGGCGTTCTTTGGTCCTGTTGGGGCGTTGGCCGGCGGTGAGTGTTGAGGATCGGGGGTTCCTCCCTGACCGACGCTTCCACCCCGTCGAGATGATCCCTGGTTGGCATTAGGTTGCGGCACATCGTCGTACATGCCCTCCCAGGATGTGGGAGCTCCTCCACCTCCACCCATGTTGTTGTATCCGCCGCCACCATAGCCTCCACGGCCACCTCGCCTGCCGCTACCATGAGGACCCTGAGAGCCTTGCTGCTGATACTGGTCATAGCCATTGTAGCTACCATCACCACCGCCCTGAACACCGCCCTGTTGTTGCTGCATCATCTGTTGTTGCATCTGCTGCATCTGCTGCATCATTTGGGGGTTCATATTGTTCATCATGTTTTGGCCAGGACCACCGCCACGTCCCATCATCTGCTGCATCTGTTGCATCTGCTGCATTTGCTGCCACATGGCCGGGTTCATGGGCATGCCTCGAGACATGGCCATTTGTGACTGCATCATGGCAAAGTATTGCTGCATTCGCTGAAAGTATTGGGCCATGACCTGTGGTGTCATACCTGAATTGTTACCACCCATTTGCTGGCCCATTCCGACTTGGCCGGACTGGTCATCACCCTTTCTGAATTTTCCACGTTTCGACGCCTCCTCTTCCTCTCGTAGGTTGCCCCTCGGCTGGGCCTTTTTAACTTCAATGGGCTTTCCATGTATTTCAAGTGGCACATTGATGCAGGCATCCACGCCGGCTTCGCTTTCGAAAGTAACGAACCCAAACCCTCGAGGCCTGCCTGTGTCTTTATCCATCATCAGCGTGGCATCAACAACCCGACCAAACTGAGCAAAATATTCCCGAAATTCTTGGTCTGTAGTATCTTGGCTAACTCCACCAACAAAAATCTTGCTGGTCTTTTCTTGTTCATCCCGAGGAATTGCTCTCTTGGGATCGATCTTGACATCAAAGTTAGAACATACAACAGCACTTCTCAAATATCGGGGTATCGACAGGGAAGAGGACCCACAATTTTACCATCCAGGAAATGTTCCTTGACCATGACAATATTGACAGTTTTGGCGTCCTTGAAGGTTAAGAAACCAAACCCTCGGGATCGGCCGGAGCTGCTGTCTCGCATCACAGTGCACTCGACGACTTCGCCGAATTGGGAAAAGTAGTCTCGCAGAGATTCTGTCGACTATTAGCATTTCTGAGAATCACTTCGCGGGACGAATCGGGACATACGGTCAGTCGTCTCCCAGTTTAATCCACCAATGAACATTTTTCTATAAATTGGCAAACGTTAGCAATTGCATATTGAACACTATGGGCTCCTTGTAAATAAATAGCATGTGAATGAAAGCCAAATCAAATCAAAAAAAAAAGTATCAAAATTCATGCAGTATGCAGTATGCAGATTTGCGACTGAGAATTCATCGGGCGGTGACATGAGAGATGTGGCAGTTGCCAGCTTTCTTTGAGGCATAAATGGGATCCATGGTGAAAGTCCATCGCAATACGTTGTTGCTGTCACCTGGTCGAGTGGCCTTGGAGGGGTTGCCAACTGAGGAAACATGCATATATCTCAAGTCAAGGCTGTGTGCTTGCCCCTGCCGCCTGTCGTATAAGGAAGGACTTATTTAGGTGTGAATATATGCGCATGACCTCAGGCGGCACGTATCTGGCTGTCGGCTTTCCCAAAATCCGATGCGATACATGTCCAAAGCATTCCCTCTTACTTGTCGGAATTGAAGCAGAGATTATAACAGCAGATGTCATTGACGGCGTTTAATGGGCTCCACTGCGACGCGATGCTTGAGAGATATCCAATGGCATGACAGCGACTGCAAGGGACGCAATGTGCCAGAAATATGTCGAATTTTGTTTTCCTTTCTTTTCTGTCTTTCGTCTTTTGTGCTATCGTTTTGACTCTGTCTCTGACTGTCTGTTGCTAGGTACGAGTTGACCCTAAGCGCTACCCGCTGTCAATCTTGCTACAGCCTCCCGAGAAGTGCATGCGCTCTCGTCGGGCTATTTTAAGACTCTGCGACTGAGAGCTATAATAGACAAGAAGGGATTCCATAGTGGAATTGAAAAGAGTTGGTCGGTAGGTCATCTTGTTTGTCCTCAACTTTATCAAAGTTTGAACCCCCACCAGCATCTAGACGGGCAAAGGCCATTGCCTCCTCTTCTTATTTCCCTTTGGATATCTCTCACTTGGGATGGCGTCTTATTGTACTCTTCCCCGGTAATATCAGGATAAAACCCAGCCGACAATTCTCATGATCGTTGATACTGTGCTCCCTGGTAGACCAGGCCATTCCACCGCTGAACCTGAGCTGAACCTGATTGCTTTCCCATCGTATCAAGCCAGTCACTTTGCTCTAAGCAAATGTATGCCGTCATATGGTTGCAGGATGCAGGATTACGCGCTGGCTGATAGCTCTTATCACATTGCAACACCGCTGCTGACACTTGTCGCAGGTAGTATGGGAAAAGGGGATTATACGCGGAGAACTGTGGCGTCACATAACAAGAGAACTCACCCATCTTCCTTCGCACTAGCTTTATGAACAGTCCCGTATGGGGGAGTTGACGGCATATCGTCTTGTGGCATCATGTGGTTGTTGGTGGAGGCTCCTCCTCCTCCTCCCAGGTTGAAGTCAACGTCGTCGTCATCGTCGTCGTCTACATCCTGGTTCATCGCATCGTGGCCGCCATCGTCCAGGTCACCAGCAGGAGCAGGAGCAGACACTGGCTCGGGCTGCTCAGGAGCTTTGGCTTCGGTACTATGAACAGCACTCGCAATCGGCGCGGCGGGCCTTGCGTCGGTATCTTCGTACCTATGAACGCGCGAGGTTAGTACATCGATGAAGAGGAAATCTAGAGGAATCGAACAGCCTTACAGGTCGGCGAAGAGATCGTCCTCGAAGTTCTCAGCTTCTGTCATGACGGAAGTTTGCAGAGTGAGGTGAATTTAGAATTGACGTAAGGCGAAAATACCGGCTGCCACGATAATAAATCGCTAGCAAGGCCAAACTATCACGAATCGAACGCCAGAAAAGTATCTAGATTAGTAAAACCCCTTTGCTGTAAAGAAAGCAACGGATGGTTTTGATGACGGCGTGGAGAGAAGAAGGTGGAGAGATTGAAAAGATTGGCGACGTGTTGTGGTGTTGGGTGTAAGGATAAGGATGAAGTTGCTCCTTAGCAAAGCTTAAAAGCAGGCCGCGCTTTGCTGTGCCTAGTTGCTGACTAAGGCAGCAATCCGTGGGTACGGAGAACACCGTGATTGAACGTGCTTGTGCAACACAAGCTCTGTTTATCGCCAAGAATGTGGTGAGTGGTCAAGAGCATCTTGTACAGAATACACGCCTTGCATACGGCCAAGGCTCGGAATCGACCTTATTGGCGTTCCTGCACCCTGATATCTCCCCGTGAAACAAGGCTGGGCTTTGCATTTATTGTAGAATGTACTCATCAGTACTAACTAACTATCTGAAGAGGGTAGAATCTACGCGTATTTCTGTTAGCGCACATGTGTCCTTGGGTAGAGTACGCCGTCGGGGGTGTCTCCGCAGGTGGCCAGGAGGTGCCAGCCTTGTCGACGCGAGGCAAAGTACAGCCGCTAGCGTTGGCAGTCGCCATAGCAGTGCGCTCAGTGGCCGTTCAGGGCAATTACCCCGCCTTAGCATCGGCACTTCAGCGCAGTGCCTGCTGTACTCGACTTTGTACAGTACATGCATCGTCCCAGCGTGGCCTAAATGGAGCTCGGCTGAGACCAAGTGGACAAGACACGGACAGGCAACATCAGCGATTACAACTTGCTTGGCACGGTCACTAATTGAACTCGTTCGCCCAACACCCCGCATAATGAGGCCTCCCCTTTGCGCTTTCGACGACCATTCGTGAACATGTGGTCGTCCTCTGGGAGCGGCAAGAAGCCGGTCAATTCAGTGAGTGCCTGCATGCAGACCCCCTCCTCCCCTGGGCCGGTGTCACAACCGGCGACGAACGAGGATGCTAACAGCTGATGTCCACAGCCACAGGAGATGGTGCAGGTCGGTATGTTATCTGAACGCCTTGCGTCGCGGTCGACTGCGAGGGACAATGCGCCCTGAGCGGCGAACAATGGGACATGTTGCTGACCGAAGCTCGATTCCGTTTGCGCGTTAGATCGGTCTGAGTATGCCGCATCACCCCATCCCGTTGCCAACTCCAGCGCCGCCTTTGCTAACGTCACTCCTTGCTACAGATCAGCCTCTCCATTCTGGAGACCACCGTTGCGAGACAGCACAGCTAGACGAAGTGCCACGAACCCGGCTGGCCGAGATGGTTCCAATCTGGTTGTTGGAGCCGCATACTCCCACGCGGATGTCCTCAAATTCGACACTCTGTACGATGCCGCCGCAAATCGCCCCATCCTGCCCGTTCGATATCGCTAACATTGAATGATGAAGAAACCTCTCCAACTCTTCTCTGCCTCGTCCCAGAACTCCTCCCTCAACGTCGTCCTCCAGAAATCGCATCAATGACGCCACTCCGCCGCCACCACGTGGTTCTGCGACCTCTACCTCGCCACCCTTTAAAAGTTATATCAACTTCCTCTCAAAAACCAACGATGATTGGAAAGCGGACGAAGACGAAATGCTAGGGTACGAGGACGACGACGGGGACGACTTTGGGCTCCCTAGCCTCTCAAACATGAAGAGAAGGTCAAAACGAATAGCCACTCAGAACAGGTCTGATTTGAGCCAAGAACCCTCGATATACGCAAATGATGGTTCATTTGGCGGCATCCGGGCCCGGCGATACTCAAACAGCGCAGATATTTCGGCTGAGCGCCCGGCACCAACCTATCCCATGCCAAAGAAGAGCGAAGGAAAGATCCTTCGGCCGCAATACAAGGACATATTAAAAGGTTAGACTTGGTTACCCGTTGACACTCTGACGAGCATTTCACAGTGCAATTTAAACATGTGCTAACTTTTGTATAGACCCGGCAAATGCGCTTCATTTGATAAACTATCCCTCAATTCCTAGTAATGCACCGCAGAAAGAAGCCGACGCAATTAATTCTCGAATTACCCGTATTAATAAATTTAAACGACTCCTCCAAGCATCGTCAATATCACTTCCCGACCTTCGCTCATTAGCATGGTCAGGTGTACCGCATGAAGTCCGTGCCATGACCTGGCAACTACTTCTCAGCTACCTCCCCACGAACAGCGAGCGGCGAGTCGCTACCTTGGAGAGAAAGAGGAAAGAGTACCTCGATGGAGTCAAGCAAGCATTTGAAAGAAGCGGAACAACAGCCGGCAGCTCTTCAGCTGGAAAAGCGAGGGGCCTAGATGAGGCTATTTGGCACCAAATCAGCATCGACATACCCAGGACAAACCCTCATATTGAGCTGTATAGCTACGAGGCAACGCAGAGGTCGCTGGAACGCATCCTCTACGTCTGGGCCGTCAGACATCCTGCCAGCGGATACGTTCAAGGCATCAATGACCTAGCCACTCCGTTTTGGGAGGTTTTCCTGGGACTCTACATGACAGACTCTGATATTGAGACTGGCATGGATCCAGGCCAGCTGCCCAAGTCGGTCTTGGACGCTGTGGAAGCAGACTCATTCTGGTGTCTTACCAAACTCCTCGACGGCATTCAAGACCACTATATCGTTGCTCAACCTGGCATTCAGAGACAGGTGACAGCCTTGCGTGACCTGACTGCCAGGATTGATTCCAAATTATCCAAACACCTCGAGCAAGAGGGCGTTGAATTTATACAATTTAGCTTTCGATGGATGAATTGTCTCCTTATGCGCGAAATCAGCGTGAAGAACACGATTCGCATGTGGGATACATATCTTGTAAGTAAAGCCTCCATCTACTCGTCTATTATCGGCCAACAGCCAGCTAATCAGAAGATTAGGCCGAAGAACAAGGCTTTTCGGAATTTCATCTCTACGTCTGTGCAGCACTTCTTGTAAAGTGGTCTGACAAACTGGTCAAGATGGATTTCCAGGAGATTATGATGTTTTTGCAAAGCCTTCCTACGAAGGCATGGGCCGAAAAGGATATCGAGTTGCTTTTGAGCGAAGCATTCATCTGGCAGAGTCTGTACAAAGGCTCAGCAGCGCACTTGAAGGGCCAGCCGCAGCGTCCTGTGCTAGCGAATCTACAGTTATAGCGTGAAATGGCATACACTTGAGGAGCTGTTAATGCGGGAATAATATATATATACCATTGATAATTTTTGCATCCATCTTGTATCCAAAGGGCGATGAGTGCAGTATGAGCTCTCGAACGTAGAGATCACGTGCTGGCGCGCCAGTTGGGCGTCTAACCGCGTTTGTAGTCGTTAATACTGTGCCAACTATCACCAGTCAAAGCGTCCTAACTGAGCTTGCAAGTAAAGCAGCAGCGTTGGCATTTGGGAGCTGGTTGTTTTTCTCTTTTTTTTTTTTTTTTTTTCTTCTCGCCTTTGTTACTCATCAGCATGGGCCCTATAACCATTGCAGATTCTGATGATGAAAGTGACTCAAACGGGCAGGTTGTCGCCCCTTCTCTTGTGACAGCCCAGGCACAAACGCGGTCTTCTGAGCAGGGGAGTCTTGCAACCGCTTCGACAGACTCAGCTTTGTTCCAGCAAATCTTTAATGAGCAGAATGCCGCTGCTTGTGAGAGAGCACTGCAACTTCAGCTGCAGCAAGAGCTGGAAGATGCGCCACACCAAAGCTCGGCCATGACAATCCCTGATGTTCCCTTTCAGCGGACTACCAAAGGGTTCTATCATTCGTCCCTGACATCAGTGACGGATCCCCGTTCAGAAATAGCTCGTAATTTCCCAACAATAAGGTCTTCGGAAAAGACGTTGGAGAGGACGCAGGAGAGGACGCAGAGCGCAGTAGACCCTTGGGAGGTACCAAGCAGTCCGGGAGCGCCTAAATCACTGGAAGAACAAGCAAAGGATCATGGAGGCCATGTGCCGGATCAATCATATGGGAGAGGTAAATCTCTTCTGTGTGTGGACACGCCACTTGAAAATCGCTGGGACGATCTTGAAAGTATGGGAGGTCGAGACAAAAAACGGAGACGCCTGGACCAGTCCGAAGCAGCTCTGTCTCAAAGCAATGATGTTGATTTGATCATGCCTCCTAATGAAAGCAGACTTATCAGCACTGATAATGAGCAGGAGACGGCAGCAGCATCCAGCACCTCCCTCCCTGCCATGCCCATTGACGACACCAGCTCGGCATGCCAACTCAAACACTCGTCTCCGGTGGAACGTGGGCCTGGGAATGCCCTGAGTGCCACATCTAGTGCTATCCCAAAATACAATAATCTGCTTCTAAAACAGCAAACTCAGTATGCAGTTGGATCAAGTGGGTCGGCTACCAACATCAACACACCGCGGAATGAAATGTTCTCGATCCAGAGCTTTGGTAGTAAGGCTCCTGAGGAGCAGGAGAGCACCACCACTACCAAGAAAGTAGAATATCGAAATTTTGTCTCACGAAGAGGCTCCTCTCCTGACATCATATCCGCACCAGCACCTGATCTGGATGAAGTTGCTGTAAGTGGGCACTGTTCGAGCATGATACAATCAGAGAGCTAATGAAGTTTTACAGCCTGTGCCAGAGTATTTACCTGGTCTAGATTCTGAGCCGAAGATCGATCAGGAATACCGTGACGACAGGGATCCTTTGGCTGACCAGCCTCGGCCGCCAGATGAGCTGCCGCCGGAGGAGCTACCGCCGGAGGAGAGTGATGCCGAGTTCGTGGCACGTCCTACGCCAGCTGTCAAGTCAAAGAAGAAGAGAGGCCGCCCGAAGAAGTCTCTGGAAACTGACGAGCCGCCACCGGTAAAGCCGGCTGAAAGTCCTACTCCGGCGACTGATGCAATATCGCCAGTTCCAACGACGCAGAAGAAGAAACGAGGGAGGCCTAAGAAGCAGTCAGACGAACCCCCTGTCGAGAGCGTTCTGCTTGCTGCCGCCACTCCCACCCCTAATGTTAGTGGTGAAAAGAAGGCCCGTGGGAAGAAGAAAGCCACCAAGGGACGAAAGAAACTTGTTGTGTTGAGCGACTCAGAGGGTGACCATTGTGCCACAGAGGACCTCACAGCGGAGGAGGCAAGGGAGCAGAATGTTGTTGAAGAAGCACTCAAAGCAGAAACTACGAAAGACGATCAGAAAAGAGCAGCCTCGAGCAAGAAGAGTAAAACTAAAGCTTCCCTTGACGACCAGATCATTCCAGATAATAAATCGGAAGATGAAAATGAGCCCCAAGAGATAAAGCAACATGCTACACGAGAGAAGGAAGAGAAATCAGGGGACAAGAAGGGGCTTTCAGCGCTAGGACTGGCCAAACCTATTTACAGGGTTGGGCTGAGCAAACGATCCAGAATCGCTCCGCTGCTAAAGTCGGTACGGAAGACATGATGAAAAGCAGATGGGGTGAAATAGAAAAAAGGCATTTGATAATGCTATTGCTACAAGAAGATTTAGGATGATGACTCAAGTTGGTGGCAAAGAGTCCAACTAATCGGACTCAACCTGGCTGCCATTTGATGGAGTGTGAGCTCTTTGAGATGATTACCTCTCCCTACAAAGAAATAGGTGAGATGGTTGATACTGCCCGCTAAGCCTATGCCACCCGACTAATCATCAGAAGTAGAATTCGGTATTCAGGCATGGCCAGCGTCGCTATACTTGTTGGACGTACGTTGAAAGGCATCCTCAACCCCGTCTCGAACATGTGGTATTAGATCAAGTTATTTGAACTTGACTTGAGACATAAAGGGTCAGCTTGGCTTGGCTCAGCTTATATCACACAATGAGCAAAAATCACGTTTATATATATGTAGATATATATAATCCATCTCTCACATTGAGACCAGAAAATTAACCACAGATTCTCAGACATATGGGGACCTTCTAGAGAAACAGGCATTCACAAAAAAACCCAATACGCTACAACCAAAGTATTTCAGCACAGCTGTCTAATCAAAACACACCCAGTGGAAACTTTCTATAGTAACCCTGGCTCTCCTGAGACATAACCTTGGCTCCGACACCGTCACACTTCTCGTCCCAGGGACCGCAGTCAGCTTCACAAACAGCCTCACCATCAGGCACAACCCCCGTGTCAAAGTAATCAGCAATATGCTTATGCAAGCAGGCACTGTCACCATTACCCATGGCACAATGCCCAAGAGCCTCCGCAATGAGAAGGCCCGCGCCGGGATGCTGAGCGGCCATGGCACGAGCCGCAGCAAGAGGCGTCACCGGATCCAGACGGTTGGACACGAAGAGGATAGGAGCGGCGGGATGGCCAGGAAGCGGCTTCTGCTTCTTCCCCGAGCCGTCGGAAGAAGACGCAGCCGGCGGCGTAGTAAAGGGGCCCTTGAAGACCCAGTTGGGGCGGAAGTTGAAGTTCCACGCATTGCACGCCATACGGACGTTGGCCCAGTAGGCGCCGTAGACGGCCGACGTGCCGACCTGGCGACGGACGTAGCGCTTCCACCAGGGCAAATCATGGCCCGAGATGTCATCGCCATCGGCGCAGAGCACGCCGGCGCCGGCTTCCTGCAAGAAACGCTCCGGACCGCCGTCAGCGGCACAGGCGTCCCTGAGCCTGGGGATCTGGCGGCTGAAAAGCCTCTCGACAATGGCAGACGAGTTGCCCCTCATGGCGTCGTCGACGGCCTTTGCAAAGCCCCTGAACGAGTCGCGCGGCCTGTAGAGGGCCTGGCCGAGCAGCTCGCGGATGTCCTGGCTGCTGATGACGACGGCGGCGCCGGAAGGACTGACTGCGGAGATTGGCTCTTGGTCGAGCTTCGCCAGCCATTGGTAGAAGCGGCCCTTGACTGCCGTGTCGTTTTCGCGGGCGAGGGCGCAGTTCTTGGGACCGGCCAAGTGGCAGCCGCTGAAGAAGCCATCGGCCAGCTCATCGGTGTCCTCGAGGTTGGTCAACCAGCCCTATCATACAAAATGAATGAAGAGACAAAACATTAGCGAAATCTCTCAAGAAATAACATGATGGCCATCATTACGTACGGGTCCCGAGGAGTAATCCTTTGCATTCACAACCCCGTCAAGCAGCAGCCTCCCAACACGGCCGGGGAACATGGACGCAAAGTAATTGCCCAGAACCGTGCCGTACGAGTAGCCAATGTACTGCAGCCTCGGAACATCATCATCGGTATCCTCCTGTGAACTCCTCCGCTTCAGCTCCAAGCGACCATCGCGCTCACCAGCCTCCCGCGCACGCAGCTCCGCAACCTTGTCCACCATCTGCACCAAGTCGCGCGCAACATTCGGCGTGCCCATGTACCCCAGAATCTGCCCGCCATTGACGCCGCTCTCGTCCGCCTCCTCGCACCGCTGCCCAATCGCCCGCTGCAGCGCAAGCACATACGGCAGCGCACCGTCGCCGGCGAGCGATCCGCGGCCCCGCAGCTCCAGCAGCGCGGCATCGCGGCCGAGCATGTCGCGCGCAAAGCAATTGGCGCGAGGCCAGCTGCTGCCGATGCCGCGCGGGTCAAACGACACGACCTCGTAGTGGCGCCGGCCGGGCTTGTCCAGCACGTCGCGCAGGCCTCGGCCGTCCTGGAGCAGGAGGTCGACGCCCGAGGCTCCAGGCCCGCCCGGGTTGGTGAAGACGGAGCCCGCAAAGGAGGCGTCGTCGTCTGGCACCGCGGCGGGCAGCTTGATCATGGCAATGGCGATTGTTCGCGGGTCGCTCTCGTTCCTGTAGTCCAGGGGGGCTGTCAAGCGCGCGCACTGGAAGCCATCGAAGCAGTCGTGGTACTCGAGATGCTCCGACGGGGTGATGCTTGTCCAGTCGAATTCGCTGCTGGCATTGCTGGCTGCGGCCAGGCCGACGGCGATTCCTACAGTGGCCCGCATTGTGAATCTAGAGAGCCATGTCAAACGAGAATAAAAATTCCAAGACGGCAGTGGCGGTTTATATACTGCATGCATGTATACAAGGGGTCGCGGCCTGGAAAGATGGATGCATGTGATTAATAACAAGCCGTGTACTATAAGAACGAAGGGATCGCGGGGCATCCCTACGAGACACTTACATACTTACACACCCAGTTACCTTCAATCACCAACCAAAAATCTCGCTTTACGAAATAATCTTTAATCGATCCATCCAATGCTTTTCCAAGACTCAGAATTCAGACCCAATGTTAGGAGTGCAAATATTGCCACTGCGCTATACACATACATACATAGGTAGAAGCCGCTTCATCGATACGTGACAAAAGTACCCGATAGGAATCGCTCCCCAGTCTGCTTTTGGTGGCGAACAAGGGGGCTGGTGGTTGTTGTAGCCAACAGCAGAACTTTTGTATCAAGCTACGAATTGGGCCTAGAGAGCCCATAATTGGCCTGATTTGCACACAGCTGCGAGCCAAAGGGTCCAGTTCAGATAAGAAGGCCTCGGACAGAATAAAGTCGGGAATTAAACATGTACCAAGGCAGCCGTGTACTTCAATATCCATCACTTCTAACCAGACCTCAAGGTTGTCATTAAAAAGGTAGGTTTCACACAAACATTGATAAAATAGATATGCACATCGTTTTTTATTGATTGTCTTCCCCAATTGTAGCTACTAAAAAAAAACCTACATGGCAATAGACCTTATGCCCGTACACTCTTCCTCTCTTCTGACCTTTCCCTCCACTGCCTTGATGCTAAACCAAATCATAATATAATAGAGCCGACGATGTGATGCCAGTAGCTTCAGACAGCAGTAAATCCATCTGCAATTGCCTGTCTCGGATGCCAGAAAGAATGAAAACGCAAGCCTAAAGGGGAAAAAAGAAACGAGAAATAAAGGATTGGGGAGGAATGCCGTGACGGGCCGCGAAACACTCCCCATTTATGAAACAGAAAAGAAGAGAAACGAGAAACGAGAAAATGCGCAAGAGAAACGAGGCATCACGCCCGGCTTTGGCCAAGTAGATTGGCATGTAAAAGTACAAGAAGAAGAACAAAACAATACTTTAACCATTACCCTCATTGTTATACCACTCCGCGTAGGTAGGTAGTCGGTGCAACAATGTCAGGCACAGCGTGCACAACTCTCACAAAAGTTTCAGGCCTTGGGTTCATCATCGAGGTGCTTGATGCGTTTTTTAATTATTTCAAAAGATGAGAAGAAAATGGCGTTGACGGCACACGACCGAATCATGGAGACGCCCAAACCGCGATACATATGACGCTTGAAGAATTCGATTTTCGGCGCTGGTTCGACCGTTTCGCCGCGTGAGTAAAGAAGAGCGTTCCTCTGGTATATGCTCTTTGCTGAGTCGATGGGATCTACAAAAGAGAGTTTATAGGGTTAGCAAAGTATTTCGAGAGAACAATTGTGGAGTTTGAACTCACAGATCATAGCCCATGATACCAGCCCGCAAAGGCCTCCAGATGCAACGACAGCCAGCTTGTTGTTGTTTGGGCTATCGCCAGCAAATGTAGTTCCAAGCTGTTTCCCGCTTTCATATACCATAAAGTAGATGGCTGTGCCCAAAGTATCTCGCACTATTCAGACGAATGAGTTAGACACAGTTCAAATCCAGTTGAAGCAAAGTGACCGATAAGCTAATTCTACATTTGAGGGGCAGTGCTTACAGAGATGTAACTGGAAACCGGTATAAAGTCCCAGAACTCCTCGATGTTTAATGATGTTAGCCATGGTCTTTAGTGTGCCCTTGTTCTGGTAGCTCTTAGCCACCTCGCGACTTCGCTTGCAGTTTGTAGTACGCTCCGCCAACAGCACGGAAACCTGAGCGCTGAGCTTTGTGAGTTCAAATGGACAGGCCAAAAAGGTGATTGCGGAGCCTGCGGTTGCGCCAGCGGCACCAAAGCAGGCCACTGAATAAAAGGTGGGATATGTTCCAGGAGTGTTTGCATGGCGGTGAATATCGAATCCAGTGTGTTTCTTGACCCAGTCGGAGTAGACATGCTTTGCTCTCCGGTAAATCGAGAAAGAGACGGTGCGGACGAGTGTGATGCTCGCCATGGGAGCAGTGACACCTGCAGAGGGTTAGCTGGCGGCGCTCTCGGTCATGATAGATGAAACTGCGTCTAGACGGGACAATGGTTGAAAGATGAAATGGTTCGTCACAAGCCTACCTCGAAAGAATCCCCCCAGAGCTTCTGTGCGGTAGGTATGTTTGACACAGTCCAAGAAGCCTCGATACTGATACGTCTGCATGCGTGTCTTGACGCTATCGAGGGGGAAGGCCGCGAGCGTGGAGAAGACGCTGGATGTGCTGGCGGCGACCTCGATGCGGTAGCGTTTTATGAGTGCGTTGGGCCATTCCCGCTCACGGTCTCGTCCCCCAGAATGAGGCATGACGACGGCTGATGCGGAGCGACCTGTGACATCTTGGTAACCACGCTTGGCCTCAGCGCTCATGCTTCTGGCAATTTGGCGTCCGGTCACAACGCGTTCAGACGGCGATCTCGTATGAGACCAGAGTCTGGAGCGCGGATCGCAGCACGGCCAGCAGCCAGCAGCCTCTTGTCCATCAAGAGCCCGCGAACGCAGAGTCCGGGGAGACGGCTCGCCGAAGATGGACGAAGCGGTTTTGTCGGTTTTTTTTTTATCTTTTTTGGTTTATGAGATTCGATCCGGAGAACAATGGATTGAACGTGGATTGAACGTGGGGTAGACCTGGAGTCGGATACGGGGTTTGGTCGATGACGATCAGAAGGGGGACACCGACGAGCTCTTCAGCGCGGAGTTGAGCTGGAGGCGAATGGAACTCAAGAGAGACAAGGTTGAATGACGGAGTCGAGTGGTGGTTGCAGATGGAATTGAGGCGACAGGCCAATCGAAAGACGCTTTGTGACAATGAGAGACGACGATGATTCGAGTGCCAGACGGGCGCTTGTTGCAAAGTGCTGGTTGAACCGCCGCCAAGTGCCGATGCCGATGCCGCCGCCTGGCCTGTGGCGTGAAACGCTGCTTGGGCCACTGCCTGTCGATGCTATTGATTGCCTGTATATATGGCGGCGTGAAGAAGAGGAAAAAGGAAAAAGGAAAGAGAAAAGGCCCTGAGCGCCCCGAGAAGAAAGCTGCAGACAGGACGACGAGACGGAACTGTGTTCGGTGAGGGGTGTCTTCCAGGGCTAAGCTCGAACCGCAGCCCCTCGGATTGAGCCCATGCCTTTTTGTTTCTTTCGTTGGAGTTGATCAGATCCCGAACTGGGGGAGCGCCGGTGTGGGGAAGCCCGCGGCAGTGGGAGCTGATAGGGCATGAGGTCACTGCGCGGCACTGTGCTGCCATTGGGTCCCCGCCTTGCAGTTGCAGTTGCAGTACTTGGCCTGCTATCTCGCCCTGCTGCGCTCCCTGTAGCTGCCGCCACTACAGCACGGCCAGCGATGAAACTGTCGTCACATGTCCGTCTTTTTGTCTCGTAGGCTACTACTACTACCGACTTATACCTGATAGCTGCCTAGGCAGATGCGTTTAAAGGCAATGGGCAGAAGCAAGCCCCAATCGTCAAAAGTCACTTTCCCCATGCACCTCAATTGGCTGTTTTTGGGCGGATGAGACGGCCATCTTGAAGGGGGGTTTTCCTCAATGACATTTTTGCCCATGTGGCCGGGGCATCTGCTTGAGGACGTCATCAGCGGGAGGCAGCTTATCATGAGGGGTCCCTTTTTTGGGCGGCGACCGGGCCAAGGAAAAAATAAAAAAAAAACAGACTGAAACCTTGCGTTGCAGCGAAGCAAGCGAAGCAGGGCCAAGGCAACAACTAAACAGCAGCAGGCATGGGCTGCGTCGAATGAAAATACCGCAGGCGTCACTTTTCATCTGCATCTGCCCGGGTAATTTATTTGAGTTGCTGCGTCATATGTGAGATGCTGTTGCCGGTTTTGACGGCCTGGGCAGGGCCGGCCGTGCGCAACACAAGGCAATCCTTCCACGCGAGCGACGAGTACACAGCCCAAAAGAAGAAACGCCATACTAATCAGATGCGCAGATATCAATGCAGCTGTATTGTTCTTCAGCTTTTAGACGTCTAACAAAACATCAAGAAGTGAACTAGCAGTTTCCTTGACTTTTTTTATGTCTTCTTTTTTGTTTTGATCGACAGTGCAATAAAGTAAATATCAAGCCGCTTGTTGAGTGTATTCAGTCTACTCTTGGGGTGACTATTGGTTCCAGCTGTACCTCTTCTTCCCGTCTTTGTTTTGCGTCTTAGCCTTTCCCACTCTTGGGGGCTGTCAGGTGCAATACTAATCTCCCCCCTTTCTCTCCCTACTCATTTCGAGTCCCTTCTCATCAAGATCATTTCTAATGGGAAGCTGATGCGGTGCCAGTCTAATACAAGACACGTAAACTAGCGGTATGAGGTAAGTGTGCGGCCACCGCCACAGCCATCCACCTATCCAAGGCAAGAAGCTTTCTTTTACGAATAGCAAATCACCGCGGCCCTCCTGGAAACCATTGGCCATTTCTGGCTCCAGCAGGTGCTCGGAATTCCCTCACGCAGTGTTTCGCAGAGATGGGAAGCTTGGAATCGCCTCAGCTTTGAGTGCTATTCCGCAGCCATTCAAGCAGCAGGTACTTCTTGGCCTACCTGTGCGGCCGAAGAAGCCTCTCCAGTAACATCGCCTGCACTCTCACCCGCCTCGCCAGCGCTGTTGTCGTCATCTGCTCCTTCTGGCGTGTTGTCAACCACAGCTGGCAGCAATCCTCCATCAGCCAGAACCTTGAGGCGCTCCTCTTCCTTCTTCTGCCGTAGAGCCTCAGTCTCGCGACGCAGCTTCTCCAAGTTCCAAGGGTCGTCTTCATCTTCACTCTCTGCCTCGGACTCATCATCTCTCCACTTGCCGCTCTCAAAGAGGGCACGACCGGTGGAATCCTTGGCCTTGCGAGCTTGTTCCTCGGCGGCCTTCTTGTCCATACGCTCCTTCTTCCACTTGGCGAAAGTCTCAGGCGTAACAGGTGTCAGCGTTCCGGTAAGCTTGTGACGCTCCGACTCCAGGAAATCTTCAAGGGTCAGAGTCTTGAGCGGTGATTTATCGAGAAGGGCCTTTTCAGCCGCTCTCTGTTCCTTTGTCTTGAGAATAAATCTTACGTACACATTAGTATGATTCAGTAATACCGTAATGAGTAGGCTCCATTCAACATACCCAGGCGGGAGAGCATGCTTATACATGCACTTATCGCCACCATTTGGACAAATCCAAAACCAACCATACTTGCCGTCCTCGATGGCCTGGATAAAAAACTTGCACACCTTGTCGGTCGAGGTCTTCTGGTTACCCTTCTTGGACAAGACAACCTTGCGCAGTTGCTCTTCATCCCAGTCTGCAGAAGTCTCCACCTTCTTCTTGTCATCCTCCTCTTGTCTAACATCCGTGTATAGGTTCTTCTTTTCCGTCTTTCGCTCGATACTCAAATCGTGAGCAAACTTGCACTTCTTTCCCTTTTCGCAGTCACCCTTCTTGTAGAAAATGCAGACGACCGTTTTGGGGTCGACACCGAACGGGACTTTCTGAATCTGCGCTGGCTTGTTTAACAGCGCTTCTGTTTCTCTTTTGGCATCTTCAGCCGCCTTCTTCTCCTTCTCACGCTGCGCCTTCTCGGCGGCCTTCTTTCTCTCTTCCGCGCTTCCACTGCCCTTCAAGTTGGCCGTCATCTGCTGGATTTGCCTCTGTGCTTGAGCTCCCTTCTTGTTCTTCATTCCAAATGTCCTGTCCTCCACCATTTTCGCGGCAGATGGCTTCTTGCCACCACCGACTTTCTGCTCCTTCTTCGGCGGCATGATGGGCAATCGATCGTTGATGGACGCTTTTGGTGGGGTAAGAAAAGAGCTCGGTATACGGCAAAAATGCGAAATGAGGTCCCAGAATTGGAGATTTGATGAGTATCTGATCTCCTAAACTCCCCTCTCCTCCTGTTCCCGAAAATTCCTTTCCAGAGGAGAGCCAACGAGAAAGGACGTCGTGGTAGATTTTTTTTTAAAACTGTGGCGGCGATTCTTCGCGGGACACAAAGTTGGGTCCAAGTTTGGTGGGTTTGCCAAAGACCGGTGGACGGATGAAGTCACTGTAGTCACGTGAGAGGTCCGTATTTTCCATCTTTTAAGGCAGGCCGCTCGACATTATCCATGCGCCCATACTCCGCGGTGAGCTAAGCTGCATTTGGAACCAGAGACTGGCCAATGTAACACGTCGCAAGCCAGAGCTACAGGTGTCCTTCTAACGGAATTGCTTGCAAGATTGTCACATCCAGCGCTCGTTATCACGACCATACCAGAGTACCCGGTGAGCTTGGAAATCATAAGCTGAACTGCTGCGCATTTTCGTGAATCTTGGCTAACCAATTGGCATCGATACAGTCCGACAGCGGTATTGCGACTAGCTCAGACCAAGCTCCGGTTCCAGCGCGGCGTCTTCAAGATGATCTCCGACGACGACCTTTACAAGCTTGCCATTTTCCTCGGCTCCATTTCTATGATACTCATTGTGGTATATCATTTCCTGGAAGTCAACACAGAAACAAAGCCAGTTGCCGTGCCGAAAAAGTCATGATAAAGCGCCGAGGGGAAGAAACGCAATAACAGTACAATGTTGGCGCGCTGGGGCACCATAGAGAGCAGAATCAAAGAACCGCATGGCCAGCTCAATCATATTTTGGAGGTATGAACCTGGCAAGGCGATTGACCGAGGACGGAACAAAGCCTTTGAGTAGGTGGTGGCGTGACATTGAGAGGAGGAATTCCCAGCTTCTGATACCACCTAAAATGGGAAGTGTGCAAAGAGACGATACAAGGGTGAATCGCCTGAAATAAATGTACCAAAAATTACACCGATCTTGTAAAGTGCGTCATATTCAAGAAGTTAATAGCACATGCTTTAATTGCCTGCCAAATTCACCCGCCTATAGCCCACCTAGCATATGCACCTTCCTTTGGATACTAACATTGATATCTTTGCATTAACGCTATATCTTATCCTAGATGGATATATCGATTTGCCATTAATCAAAAATGCAATTTCTAGCCAGCAGCGGTCATTCGCCGCATTAAAGGACATTTACAACAAATACTTCAATACACCTCCCTCTTCTCTTTACTAATGAGCAAGCACAAGCCGGGGCAGCACATGCATCGAGTAGTTGATGAAGTCGCGCCTTTGTCACGTTTTGCTAGGAACAAAGACGTATCTTTCGCTTACATGTGCCGATGACGGAAACCGAAATAGACATTGCCAACATCTCTTCACCGTTTAGATTCATAAGATGAGGCCATCATACAAAGACCTTTCTCTTTGTCACCCACTTCCCAAATCAGCAACCAAGTACTCGGCCTATAAGCCAGGGGTAAGGAACGATAGTAAGACCTCCATAGAATGAATGCCCCAATACTGGCATATCGGCGCAAAGATGTGTGGCAAATGTATTTCTATCAACGGGACCCATGTACGTATCGCCATTAGCAGAGCCCAGCTATCGTAGCTCTTATGCCAGAATCTGGAATTGCTTATTGCATTAGTGAGCTTGGCTGACTTTGTCTCACCTCGACTGACTCCAGGCTATTACTACGCCAAATGGCTGGCTGACTACATGCCCTTGGAGCGAGAAAGACTGAGCTGAGGGAGCCAACGCAAGGTACAAGCTGTTTGGCGGGGCGGCACATGCTGCGGCAGGTACCTCCTCCTGCTAGCGCTCGCCTTAGTGAAGGGCCCCTTTGTTTTTTCTCAGGCACTAACAGCAGGCGCTACAGCAGGTGCTGAGCCTCTGGCCGGCACGCGTTCCTGCGCCCGCGTTGCCGCCCATTTATCTGCTGCGGTGACTCCCCTCCTCGCAACCTCGCCTCTTCTTCTTCGCATCTCCATTCCACGCCCGGCTTCGCTTCTTCACACGCAGCCGCAACCACAGACTCTCTCATTCTTCGTCTTTGACACCCACGCCGAGCCAGACTCCAGCCAGGCGTTTTCCTTCTTTTTCTCACCAGCCTCTTCCAGTCCGTCGGATCGCTGAACAAACGCGCGCTTGCCGAATCTTCCCTTGCCGGCAAAGCTGTTATGATCTGAGCCATTCACAAACCCCAGCACGCGCATTCTCTCGGTTAAGCCTGATTCGAGCCGCTTCTCGCGATCTAATCCTTGACCACTCATCCTTGATTGACTGTCGCTTTTGTCAATCGTGACCACCCGCTGTCGACGCCGCTTCTCGACAGAATTTTCCACCTTCTCATACAAACCTCTACCAGCTACCAAACCTATCATCATGTCTACCAAGCTCGACAAGCCTCTTGACGAGATCGTCACCGCCCAGCGCCGCAACTCTGTCCGCCGCCGCTCTCTGCGACGCACGACCGCTGGCCGCCCTACTGCTACCGCCCCTGCCGGTGGTGTTCAAAAGACTGCCGCAAGGGCTAACCGTGGCAATGCCGCAAAGGCCACTCCCGCCAAAGCTGCTATTGCCCATGGCGATAGCAAGGTCATCGTCAGCAATTTGGTACGCTGTTCTCAATTTCCATCAATTGGGTCAAAAAAAAAAAAAGGCAATCTGCTAACATTTCCCAGCCCAAGGACGTGACGGAGAAGCAGATCAAGGTATGTTTCCGTTGAGACCTTTTTTGTCTCCGGACTTTGTTCGACGTTTTCTTCCTCGCCGTACTTGCTTCGTCAAGACGGTCATCCCTCTGAGAGGCATTCGAATGCCAATTTGGCCCAAGCCACTATAAACCGCTCAAGCCTCCTTCAATTGCTGCCGTTCGGGTAACGCCACACACAGCACAGGCAAGTCGAGGCTGTCCTCATTTTCGCACAGAATGCCCACAAATGCCTGGTCAGTATTTGGTCGAAGCATGGCGATATATCTATGAGGACTGCAGCAACTCTGCTGATGAACGCTGAAGCGTACTCGTCATGAGAAGCTGCGCTTGAGCGAAAGATATTGCTGGCATAAAGTTGGCTAAGTGAGCAAAGCAGCGTGTATGTGTATCCAGGAAACCCGTATTCAAGATCAACCAGCTTGTCTACTTGGCGCGCAATCTATGCCTGGAGGTCTTGGCCAAACAAGTGCTGGTTAGCGGGCATTATTTGTGGTTTTCATTCCGTCATTCATGACTCCCACCAGACTTAATCTTGCGGGACGATTATTTCTACTCCTTGGCTCCTTTGGTGTTTCCTGTCACTGGTGTGGCTCCGGGGGGGTGTACACATTCTAAACCTGTCTATTGTCTATCCTGGGTTGCTGCTCGCTGCTATGCTCGCTGGTCTTCTTGTAACACTTCTTCTTACATCGAAATGATGCGATACTCTGGGACTGGATCGACGAAATTCGAAGTCGGAAACAATATGTTTGTGCAACCATTTGCTTCCGTTTAACTGACACACATTGCCACCTAGGAATACTTTGTCCAGTCTGTCGGCCCCATCAAGAGGGTTGAGCTGTCCTACGGCCCCAACTCCCAGAGCCGAGGAATCGCCAATGTTACCTTCAGCAAGCCTGAGGGTGCCTCAAGGGCGCTGCAATCTCTCAACGGATTGTTAGTAGATGGCCGCCCCATCAAGGTAATTCGGCCCTTATGTATGGGAACGTGACGGGATTCAAGCTTACTTTTGAATGTGTAGATCGAAATTGTTGTTGGTGCTGCTCAAGCCGATAAGGTCATTCCTCCGGTCAAGAGTCTGGCTGAGCGTGCAACGTTTGTCCCACCCACTCCAGTTTGTCAGAGAGATGAGCTAACCCTCAATGCAGTCAACCCAAGGCTCAGCCCAGATCTGCCGCTGGCAAGAAGCAGAACATTGCTGCATCCAAGGCCACTGGTCCCAAGGGAGCTGCTGCTGCTAATGCCAACAAGAAGCGACGCGGCCGCAATGCTCGCCCGGCCAAGAAGACGGCCGAAGAGCTCGACTCAGAGATGGCTGATTACTTTGTCAATGCCAACAACAACGAGGCTGCCGGTGGCGCTCCTGCCGCTGCTCCTGCCAACGGAGATGCTGCTATGGAGGATGAAATTATGGTAAGTTCTGCTCTCCATTGATGGATTGGTACAGCGACTAATGCAAATTACAGTAATGGTATTCTTGTTTTCCAATACTAGGTGTGATGGCGTTCCAAGGGACCTCATGGTTTAGATATCAGTGCATAAATGAGAAAAAAAATTGAAAACTAGCTCAGCGCACGACAGGTTGACAAGGCGCCATATAATGTCGCTAATGGAGATGGTGCCACCAGATCAGATTGTCCGGGTTGTGGTCTTGGAGGCTTTGGAGTATAAACTCCTTTCGACACGAGATTTGCTTTTATCTTTTTTTTAATTCATCGTTTCTCCTGGACTGGGGCAGGCAAAAGGGTGCAGTGAAGTATGTAGCAAAATACGATTAATTAGCGAAATATCAAACGCAGCGAATAAGCAACTAGTTATGACCATATTCGGGTTATAAATCCCGGTCGTATATATTTCAAGTGACAAGCTAAGAAACTTTGGCGTTGAACAAGTCGTAAGATAGGTAGGCATTCAAGTGCATAGACCTAATTTCTATACAGAAGCGACATTGAAGTTGAGAGTTGAGTGCTTCTGGTGAAATGTCTTCCACTTAGACTGGCCATACTAGGGGTGTCTGCTTTTTCAAACCATTACTCAAGAGGCTTCTTGATAGCCTCTCAAGCCCACATACACAGAGTTAAGCAACAGGCATATACTCAGAACCAAAGACGCTTTTTTTTTTTTTAACTTGAGATTTTTTTTTTTTCTTTAAATGTAAGAATCCGTACTCCTAAGTACTTGCCGTCGGGGTCCCGTTAAAACAATGAGGCACTCGCCAAGATTCCATTTCCAGTGTGCAGTAGTATCTCGTCATTAGAACGAAAACTAGAAAACTTCTTTACGCCTTTGGTGCGGCCTCGCCCTCCTTCTTCTCCTCGCCCTCAAGGTCGGGGATGTCCTCGTCATCGTCGTCGGAGTCAGAGTCTGGGACGCCAGAGCTGCTGAGGTCTGGCATACCCTCCAGGCCCATGGCGCTCATGTCGGGCATGCCGCCAGCGCCGCCTCCCAGCTTTGAGAAATCGATGCCGCCGAAGTCGCCGCCTAGAAGAGAGAGCAGATTGTTAGTTTCGTGTGATTGATCCCTTGGCGCGTTTTCAAGATTCAAAGAGGGGGGGCAAAGAGGTGGTTCAATGTTACGTACCCATTCCGGGCATGCCACCTATTTCACCAAGATGTTAGCAAAGAGCCGTAACTGTCACATAGAAGCCAGTAGAAGCTACTTACCCATATCACCAAACTTGGACATGTCGTCATCAGCAGCCTCGTTCTGCTCATCCTCGTCGACCCACTTGTCGAAGTCGGTCTTGAGGAAGTGCAGCTTCTTGTTTTCCTTGAGCAACCGCGGCCAGTACTCCTCCTTGAGCTCCTTCTTCTGCAGCTTCATCTCAACGTTCTTGGCAGTGTGGTTAATCTTGCTCTCGGCGGGGTCGATCTCGGCAAACAGCTCCAGCTCAACGTGGTAGGTGTTCTTGAGGGTGGCTGATTTTCCAGTAAAGGTCACCTTGGTGGGCTGAACGTCGAGCTTCAGGTCATCCTTGGCGACATCGGGAACGGAAATCGTGAGGTAGACAAAGTTCTTCGTGGCATCGGCAACGGAAGAGCGCTGGGCCCAGAGAACTAGAGCGTGGAATCAACTAGGTTAGATGACTATGTTCCAACCAACAACAGCGATAACGGGCGCCACTCTAGCAGTTGGGGCGAATTGGGGGCAAGCTTGAAGCAGAGCAGACGCGGCTGCTGCAACGCATCATAAGGCCGTGATGGGGAGAGAATCCTGCGTGGCGTGGCGGGACATCCAGGCAGCCTGGCAATTACACACCTTCGGGGGTCAATGTCTGAGCCATGATGTATGTGAGGATAGAGTATCGCGGGAAAGAATTGATTGGCGAAACTGGTGGGAAGGTCAGTCGAGCGCGGAGGAGGTGGTGGGTTGAGGTGTAATTAGCGGGATGCTGGGTCGAGTTTCGAAGAGCTTACGTTAATAAGGCTGTGGACGCAGAAAGCAAGCACGGGTGAAACGATCAGAAGGCAGGGAATGGAAAGCGTCAGAAGCCAAAAGATTTGGCGGGCAGGGCTGATGAGGGGCACGATGCGGCAGTACCCCTCTGCAGCGCAGTGGCTGATGCAAACAGCAGGTACTCCGCTAACGCTGCTCTGCTCTCTTCCGCATCTGAGGGGCTGGGCGCACCGCCGCAGCTGCGACAGCTTAGACGCCTGATGCAGCCCCAGAGCAGCGATAGGGCTCTGCGATAAGGCTCCAGGCGCGGCTGTTAGGGGGTTTGAGCCTTCTGGAGAGGGGTAACAGGAGAAGATGCAGCCAGCCCAGCTGTCAGCTGTCCGTGCTACGGGATCTAAAGGTACATGCAGATGCTCAACTACCCAAGTTGACAAGCCTTATACTCTCAGGCCGTGCCATTGGCATTACTTTGGGCTGTGGCCAGCCTGCCGTAGGACATATTCCCTTTCGCGGCGGCTTCAGCAGCCAAGCAGAGCCGCAGCGGGGTAAAATACAGGGCGTTGCAGAACATGAGGTTCTAAGAGACGCCTAGCCACTGCAAAAGCCACACTGTGGCTGTCACCAGCCCCCCATTACGACGAGCCAACCGTCCAACCCAGTGACAATTCAACTCAGCCTTGGACCTTTTCGCCGCGATAGACAATCCTCTCCAAACCCTCGCATATCCCGCCACAGCCTCGGCTCCACCAGCGCCGTCTTTGTGCTTCGCCCTACGGCTCGGCGCAGGCTTTCGAATGAGGTAGACCACCGGTTTTTCGTCGTCGTCGTTCAGCATTGGGCCACGAGCCCTCGCACTCAGCCATCCTGCCTCGTCATCGTCTTTTGGTCCCATCTTTGGAAAGTGATTGGCGCCGACAATGGATACTTTCAAAGCCCTTTTCGCAAAGCCGGATCCCCAGCAGCAGGTAAGGCATTCCGGCACTGTTGATGATGCTCATCTGGCTGTTAGGCTTACCGAGTTACTGACCATTGATACAGATGCGAAAATGTAATCAGCTGATCCGTTCCAACGTCCGAAAGCTCGATCGCGATATCGCTCAACTCAAGCAAGTCGAGATCAGAACCAAGAACCTAATCATACAAGCGGATAAGCGTGCTCAGCGGGACCCCTCAAGGGCCAAGCAGGCGCAACAGGAGGTTCGGATTTTTGCGGGCGAGCTTGTGCGCACGCGGAAGGCGTCGCAGCGGCTGGTCACGACCAAGGCGACGCTCAACTCGGTACAGATGCAGGTCAGCGAGGCTTTTGCTGTTCGTAAGATCGAGGGATCCATCCGAGCCAGTGTTGGTATCATGAAAGATGTCAATTCGCTCATCCGATTGCCCGTGCTCACTGGGACGATGCGCGAGCTGAGCGTCGAGTTGATGAAGGCGGGCATCATCGAGGAGATGATTGACGAAACACTACCTGAGGACATGGATATGCTAGAGGATGAAGAGGGAGAGGGCGAGATCGAAAAGGTCTTGGGAGAGGTTCTCAAGGAAAAGAAAGAGCCTGCTCTGCCCACCACACCGCTCCCCGAACCGGAGAAGCCGGTTGCGGAGGAAGAGGAGGACGAGGAAGACGCCGAGGCAATGATGGACCAGATGAGGAATCGATTAGATGCTTTGCGCAGCTAGAGCGGGAACAAGTCGTTTCCCATCCCGCAAACTTTGGATTAAATGCAGCGGTGTTTTGGCGTCTGGTTTTCTGGGGAAGTGTTTGACGTGTGTACATGGAGAATTGTCCGGGAAGGGGGGAACCGTTTTGCCCCATTCTTCATTTTCATATACACTTTCTGAGCGACATGGTATCAGGTCTGTTCATTCTAGGGTAGAGAGCCATGTGACTCCCTTTACTGCTTCAATCTATCTAGATCTCTCTCTTTGTCTCCATCTGCACAAACCCCCTGTGTTTTGACGCCATCCGTCACGAGAGAGCCCATGCTCTTTGTGGGTTTACACGCATGACAGCTCTACATGTGGACCGCCGGCGTCCAACTTGGCTAACTGAAGCATGGGCTGCTGGTCCAAGGCTGACTTACATACAGACGGTGGAGTTTTTGCTCCGCTGCGGTGGTCCTGCAGTGATGCCTTGAGGAGACTCCAGATCGGCTTAGAAAAAGTGGGTGTTGAGGCCGATTTGCGTCGGACCTTGGCGAGAGGAGTCCCGTATCCGGCTGTTTAATACGCGGAAAGATGTTGTTGTCTTGCATTGATACAACGGTTGAATTGTGGTCTTCACAAGGGGTAGCCAAAGTAGCTATAATGGGGATCTGCTAATCCAAGGTCCCTATCTGGGTTGACGACTTATCATTACCTGGTTATCACTACGTATCAGCGGCATTTTAAACACTCTCGTAAGCTATCCATTCTCTCTCTATATACTATCACATATTCAGTATAGATATCCAGATATGGCATAGAGGCTTACAGTATTCTAAGCTCCGAGTCTTCTCTTGATGCTAGAATGACAAGCCTTTGACTATGGACTTGATCTCGCTGTTGACAACCACCTTTGAATAAAGCCACTCCAAGCCCACCATTTCCCAACAACCTTGCAATCCTTTTAAATATAGGCAGAACAACATTAATACCTCTAATATGTCATGCCAGGCAACCCAGCTCCGTTAGACTGTTTAATTTTTCCAATGACCCTACATAGAATAGCATTTTCCCGGGTAAGCATAGAGGTAATTCTCCGTCGGCGATACTTGCTGGGCAAGGCAATGAATAGATTTCGCGCCCAACAGAATATAGGGTATAAAAAAGAAACAAAAAGAAATCAATGGAAAAATCGTATCATGTGTTATATTATGGAGACGAGGAACAAAAAAAAATAGAAATTGGCATGGCACTCAAAAAATGCGTCATCCGGAACTCGAATCCGGGCCTCAACTTTTCAATCGTGACAATGGAAGAGTTGAATCCTAACCCCTAGACCAATGACGCTTTGGGTTATTAGTGAGCATCGAAAAAAGCGACTAAGGATCTAACCCGCCCTCTCCGCGTTTTTCTTACCCTTCTCTGATCCTTTGTAATCCTGCCGCGGGAAGCACATGCCCTCCTCCCCGAAGCACGGTTCCATGCGCGACCAAATTCTTGGAGCACTTTTGTGGAGCCTTCACTTTAAACACGGCGCGGAAGATCCGTGTGCTGGGGGGGGGGGGGAGCCTCTTCTTCATGTCAAGTCCCTTGTCAATCAAGGTCCAAGCTTCTTCCCCAGTTGGGATAACAAAGCGCCGAGGTGAATGAATCGCATGAAGGAGAAGGGGGGGGGTGGCGGAACTACTTTGGGTGCCTGGCAATTTATAACAACACACGGACCGACCCAGGAACATGGGCGAAGCAGGACTCATGTCAAAACAAGGGACCTTGTCTGGAGAGGGGGGGATTGCTACTGTAGAACCTTTGGGCACTGCTACCCTTTGGAAATTTGATCTCTGGTGTCATTTTCCGCGCCGTCGGGTCGGGTCAGGTGTATGGGTTTTCAATCGTTTCTTTTTTGTTTTCGGTCTCTCTTAACTTGGTTGCCTGTCTTTTCCCTTTCATCTCCCCTTCCCAAGGATTCGGTTCCATGGCTGGTCAGGCCGGCGTTCCAAGATTCTGGGAAGGCTTTTTTTTTTTTTGGTTTTCAACTGCAGGGGCCCCTTTTCACTTGAATCGCGATATATAGTCTATAAAATAGTGATACTTACTAACGTATGCAGGAACATGACTTGTTTGTGACAGGTACGCTTTTTCAGCCGCAGGTCGGCGATATCACGGGCAAGAAAGCCTCTTTCAGGTAACGACGACAAACACTAAACCAACAAACTATAAGTTCGAAAAAGGAAAAAAGAGGGCGCTCCTATGCCAAACAGCCACGCGGAAGCGATCCGGAAGCCCGGACCGGAAAGCAAGAGGGCTTCACGTGCAGGGCAGGGGAGCAGTTGAGCTCGGAGAGGTTCCATAGCGTTAGTTTAGCCGTCGCTATTCCTTTCCCTCTCAGGGATTGACAAAGAAGCAAGGGGACGGCGAGTTTGGAAACCAGTAACATCTCGCTCCGCGCTCTTTGAACCGGTTCCTAAAGGGGAAAACTTCACGATCCATGTCGAGATTTGACAACCCAGGCTGCCTCTTGAAAAGAGGAGACAGGGGCTGTCGTTGGACGGTAGCGAGAGACCGCGGTCGGGGAAGCGCTTCCGAGAAATTGCGGACTGGGGCCGCCGCCACAAAAACGTGCCGGGGAAGCTTTGCCAGCCACACCTGTTTAGCTCACCCATAATCTGCGGTTTCATTTGTCATATTGTGGCTTGAGACACACAGTTAGTTGGGTTTCTGAACCCGGAACAAGCTAGGGGCGTGCGGCTCTTTGTCCGGCAAACAAGACGCCAACGCCAAAGCTGGGCGGCTCGGGATAGTAGCGACGTTGCCGACAGAGCAAGCAAGCATCTGAAAGCCACACACAGACACACACCACCCCCCCTCCCCCTAGGCCAAATCTCCTCCTTCATTTTGACGCCATCTTGCTTTCTTAATTTTAGTTTACCCGAGAGAAATCCGAACTTTTTGTTTTCCCTTCTGAAGTACGGGGTAAACCTGGGATATGCTGGCTAGCATGTGCCAAAAATCCCAAGAAGCCGGAGAGCCGAGAGAGCTCATTTACCGAGCTCGGGCAACCCTTGGTTTCTTCCCGCGGGTAAGTAAGCCAAAGGATTCACAACCCAAGGTAGAAAGAACAAGCAGAGAAATGTAGGTGCCTAATTCTCAAGTTTGCTTGCCCGGTCCATCGCCCGGTTGTCGCGATCCTGTCATCCATCCAACGCGACGAGCCCTTGGATCCTTTTGGCGATTTGTGGCTTTTCGCGAGTCATCCTTCCTTTTTGTTTGATTGAGGTTTATAATGCTTGGACGGGTTTGCCGGTTTCGCGGCATAGCAGGAAAATAGCAAGGGAGCGTTGGTATAATGAAGGATGCTAGGCATAAGGATAGTTGCTTAAAGCAGCTATAGTCGCGCCCATGTCGCGGCGTTTGACGAGCGAGTCCCGAGTTTTCTCCCCAAAAAGACAAGACGTCACTGATTAGACAAAAGAAAGTTGACGAGGACAATTATTCGGAATCACTTTGGTAATGGCGCAAAAGCAAGCAAAAGAAAGAAAAACAAAAAGTAGACCGAACACACCGCGACCACACCGCATCGGGTTTCTCTCCCTGCGCACACACAGACAAACAACCTAAAGTTCACGATAGGGTCGCTCGTAAAAAGGAACTCTTTTGCAACGTTGCCATTTAGCCGTTCGGTCAACCACCGCTTCAACCGCTGCCACAGCTTGTTTGGCGATGCCGAGCCATTTTGCCGACGGGGCATGGGAAATTTGGGGTCAGGGCAAAAAAGGGTTCTTGCTCCACATTTTGGAATGTTCGAAGAAGAAATTCTGCAGCGGAGCGCGGTGCGCTTCGGAATCGGACCTCGTGGGGCCAGTGGGGTTTTTGGGCGCAAGATTCCGAAATGCTGGGTTTGGAAAGTATGACAGCGGTCACTAAATGAGGACCGTTCGGAAACGGACCGTAATGGTAGTGTGCGAAATGACTAGTGTAGTGCGCAATAGGCTGTAGCAAGTTGCTGCCAAGGGTTGTTTCTAATTTTCTTGGGGGTGCAGGTTCTGTCAAAGATGTGTGTTTGGACGAGGGCTTTTTGTCCTGAGCTATGCATCGTGAGGTTAGGAGCCCACACGCATTTTGACATCTGAGTTGTCTTTTTTTTGGTGTGTGTGGTTGATCGCCGGCCTCCATCTCCGAGAGGGCAAAAGTGTGGGTTTGGGTTGGTGCCCGACATCTGTAATGCTCCACGCGGTGTAGTGACAATGGGCCACGTTCACCTTGATCGCGATGCTACAATGGGATTTTCGCATTTGGGAATCTACAAGGTTGCTTATGGCTGAAAAGAGAAGGCATCGAAGCGAATTGCGAGAGCGAGGCATACGAATAGCTGTATCTGGTAGTAGTTGCCTTTGTCATCCTCACAACCCCGAATGGGGGTTACTGTCCAAAACGGAGAAATTATTTCCAGGAGTCAACTACAGCAAAAAGAAGCATCTGTAGGTAAGCAAAAGAGAAGAAAATTTTTCATAGCCTATTTGATTATACGTGTATTGCTTAGCACTAGTGACTAGAGTTGGAAACGGCAACTGTCAAGCCGACGCCTTGGATAGGGTTAGCTGGTCTGGCTGGAAGAAGAAAGCAGAGGAATCGGTGCTACTTGTACTATTAGCTTTCTGGCTATTCTAATCCCTCCCGCCGGGGCACAGCGTGGACGATCCCGGATGCAAGGGAGGGCAGCATTGACACGAGCAAGGCAAGGATAGCAGGTAGTCATCAACAAATCCCTGGCCTGAGGAAACCCATAAGATTAGGCTCTATCTGAAACGAAAAGGCACCGAAGAAGGAAGCAAAAAAACATCTCTGGGAACCCGCCTTCAGGGTCCAAAGCGCTTTGACCAACGAAGCAAAGAATTAGTGCAGAGAAGAAAGAGAGTGCGAGCGGTTTGCTTCTTAGCTTAGTCTCTACCGGCCCGGGCCCTGGCTCTACCTCCTACCCAAGGAAGTGGAGATTCGGGGGAGAACAAGGACGATGTCCGGACCGTGGATTTGGTTTTGGCTTTCGTTTTGCTTGATGGGCGATATCCGCAGAGCTGGTAAATTAAGCTACTGGGTAAGGCATTTTAATCAAGGTAAAACAAGAGGAAATCACAAATTTCTGATTTGCTGGTTCCTCCTATTCCAGAGGGGTGTCATTCCCGTTTAGGAAGAGAACACGCGCGGAAAACAATCTAGAAGGTCTCCCGAGTCAGGGAAGAGAAGATTTCGAGCGCTTCGATTTGCCGGCTGTGGCATTTTTATTTTATTTTTC